GGCATCACGGTACACACCTGTAATCCTAGGTACTCAAAAGGCTGAGGCAGAAGGATTGCAGTTGGAGGCCAGCCTCAGCAACTTAGCAAGAACTCATGTCAAAATAAAATACAAAGGACTGGGGGTGTAGCCCCAGTATTTAAACACTAGTACCGAGGCGCGTGGGAGAGCAAGGAAGATATGCTATTATTTCCTATTCTAAAAACCTGTTTTAAAAAGTAATTTCACAAGAAATATAAAACATATTTTCTTACAATAATAATGTCCTAAACAGTAGTTATAAGACCTTCCTTCAACTATTTAATCTATAATTAATCTAAAATCGAGTTCAATTTAAATATATTTATTAGATCTAAATAACATTTTACAGATTATTCGGTGGTAAATTTTAAGTTCCAAATTGTAGGTTATTATTTCATTTATCAATTGCTATGTAACAAATTATTCAAAACTGAGCAACTTAAAACAATAACCATTTTATTGTATTTCATGACTTTATGGGTCAGGAATCTGGACAGGCCTCAGCTAGGTGATTCTTCTATTCTGAGATTGTCAATTGAGATTACTCACTGGTATTCAGTGGGTTAATATGCTGATTTGGATAGTCCAAGATGGCTTTATCATAAGTCTAGTCCTTAGGTAGGGATGAGTAGAAGGATAGGATCAGCTGGGACAATAGCTTGGAGTGCCTTCATGTGACCTTTCCAGTACCATGCAGAGTAGCTAGTCTGCTTATATGGCAGTCAGAAAGAGTCTTGCAAGAGACTAAGATAGAAGCAGCAAAGGTTCTTCTTACCTAATCTCAGCATGCAATATCATGCACTTCTGGCACATTGCACTAGTTATAAGTGTATCATAGGCCCAGCCAAGGTTCTAGGAAGGAAACTGCACAAAGGTGTGAATCAAAGGAGGCATGGTTCCTGGGAGGATAATCATTAGCAACTAACTTCCACAGTGATAATATAATGTTTTTAATCTGTATAAGTAAAGGTATGATTTCRATTTTCATATTTAAAAGTTGTGTCAATAAGTTTCAAACTATATGGAAACCTATTATTTCTCTGCTAATGTGGAATAACAAGTCTTTTTGAGAAAAAAACTGGAACTGAGAAAAAAACGGAACTAACCATTTTTTTTTAAATCAATCTTTTGTTTATCCATGAAAGTATTTCTGAAACCCTTATTGCCTGATACCATTATTCTTTACTAGTGTGACAGGGAAATTTCTAGATAGGTTTTGTTTTTCACATAGGATTTTTCTTTTAAAAAATGTTTGTAGTTGTAGATGAACAGCATGCCTTTGCTTTGTTTGTTTATATTTATGTAGTGCTAAGGATCAAACCCAGTGCCTCACACATGCTAGGCAAGCACTCTACCACTGAACTATAGCCCCAGCCCTTTCTCCTCTATTTTTGTGGTGACACTCATGATCTTGATGCTCCCTTGTCCAGGAGAAGTATGCACAGCAGGTCTGAAAGCAGAAGGCTTTTGCAGGACACTTTCTTTTCTGGCTTTTGTTTTAATGAAGCCTGAACTTTCAGAATCTGCTGTTCAGGAAAAAGGAAGTGGTGTGGGTTGAGGGTCAATAGAAGTTGATTGGTACCTTATAGAGATTCCCAGAGCCTCATTCTGTGGCCCTTCTATTCACCTCCTTTCCCTGCCTATACCCAGAAAGTCTCCTGAGTCACCTCTTTGGAACCTCTGTTTCCATGGAGAAGAATATGGAAATCACTGCTCTAGATCAATTATTCCTCAGATTTCCCAAGCTGGGGAACAAAAGAGAGCAATGGAGTGGAGAACTGAGGAACTTCAGATACAGACTAGTTACCAGTGATTGTAAACTTCTTAAYCTGGAAGGATGCTGATTGATTCCAGTCATCAAAACTAGAAAGCTGAGTAGTTGAATTAAGTCTTGGCAGGGAGTGGAAGACAATTCCATTTCTTTTGGCGGGGCAGGGGGGGGGGGCGGGGGGGAGGCAGGTAGGTACTAGGGATTGAACTCAGGGGCACTCGACTACTGAGCCCCATCCCCAGCCCTATTTTATATTTTATTTAGAGATAGTGTCTCACTGAGTTGCTTAGCATCTCGCTGTTGCTGAGGCTGGCTTTGAACTCACTATCCTCCTGCCTCAGATGTCTGGAGCTCCTGGGATCACAGGCATGTGCCACTGTGGCCAGCTTTAATTCCATTTCTGAAATGCTAAATTTGAGGCTATAGTATAGTATATATGCTATGATAAGATGGCTAGAGAGATGGGAAYATCATACAGATGAAAAGGTAAGGTTGTAGACAAAGAGATTCCAGCAATTGTTGAGGAAGTGAGCTCAGAGATAATAGAGCAGAAGACTGAGGATAAAACCTTCATGACATCCTGCTGCAAAGGCTGAGCTGGCAGCACACCTGTATCTAGCATACTAGACACATTTTACTTATTTATTTAAATTATTATTATATTGATGGCAAATTTAATTTAACATCAGGAGTTTAAACACTATCTAAATTATGCCTTTTTTGGAAAACAGGAAGACTTAACAATGTTGGGCCCACATTCTTCATGTAGAGAGTTAAATAACCACTGCTATTATCAGATGGGGCTGCTTCTGAGCAGTGGGACATAATCCTTTCTAGTGAATTTCACCTACATATACTACAAAAGTGACAAGGTTCTCTTCTTGACTGAACTCTAGTCAGGTTCCTCTGAGGTCTTTCTCAGTTAGGCCTCACCCTTGGCCTATAAGTTCTTGAACAAAATACTAACATAACTTCTAATAGCTGAATGACACATCCCTAGGATGACCCCAGCTGCCTTTAAAGTACATTTCACAGAAAACACTACCAGAAAACAACAGAAGATAGGGTCCTTATCTCTCAGCATCTGTGAAAGTGTAGAAACCTAACCTCTATATATGACCAGTAAACAAACTCAAATAGGTTTCACATAAAACAACTTCCACTTCCTGTTTTTTTGTCATTGTTGTTTGTTTATAATTTTTAACGCTTATTGCAATAGTTTATTACTGATTAAAATCTGTCCTTATCACTTTAGGGTCTGGCTTTATCTTTGACAGAGACTAACAGTCAGCAATGAAAGTGTTAGGTTTTGTTGTTGTTTGAAAGACGGAAAGATTAAGCATATTTGTTTCCTGTTTTTCCTTCAAGGAAGCTGAGAAAAGGGAGAAATTAAATATATAAGAAGCTGATGAACATTGGTATAATCCAGTTATTGGAGTTAGAATTCAGGATGTAAGTGAAAATTAATTTTAAAGAGGGAGATAGCTGTTTTTTAATTTTTCTGAAATTAGAGATAAGGGTAATAGGACATAGAGATAATGGAGAAATAAGATGAAGAATAAAAAGACTGAAGAGGTGAAAAAGAAAAAAGAAAATCTACCCCATCAGACTGGGCTAAAAAACACAGTTTCAAAATGAACAGGGAAAAGTATTTCCTTCAAGGACATGCTGAATCCATAAAGTGTCACAACAACCTCTTTCTTTGATTACTGGTTTCTTGCTGAGAAACATTGTTCTCTAAAATCATAGACTAATCAGAAATTACTGTTACAAATTACAACAGTCAGAACAAAACATTCCTGCCTGGAGAATCTAATATATAGAGAAATAGCCTTGATTTCCAAGATAGGTGAAGAGGTTTTTTTTGGTGGGGTGGGGGGAAGGGTGTTTCTGAAGACATTTCACATCTATATTAAATTTGCAGGTTTCACATCTATATTAAATTTGATGCTTTTACTCATAGTTCTGTTTCTCATGAGGCCTTTCAAAACACTGTGTCATTTAAATTTTACCAGGATGCCTCACGTCTCCCCAATGGCCTGTGATTACTCCACCTTTTCCTTTGTTTGGTGGGATGCTCCACCATCCTGCTGGTGTAAATTCTCCTTCACTTAGCATGTCAAACTAAACCTACAAAACAATAGGTTCATTTCTGGAGGTATTAGGATGCTTGGATGAGCACAGAAGACACTGGAGGTTTTCATAGTCCAATTTTTCATTTTACAAACAAAAACTGAGTGCCGGAGGGAGAGTTTTAAATGTCATTGAAGTTCTCAGCACCCCAGAGCCATTTCCGCATGAAGAAGATATATGGTATCCTTCTTCTAAAAATAATTTTTTGTAGTGGTGGAAATCGAACCCAGGGCCTCAAACGTGCTCTGTTAAGTGCTCTACCACTGAGCTACATTACCAGCCTCTGGAGTGGATTACTTAGACATGTAATCCACAAATTTATCTAGGCCTTTTTAAGAGCATCTTTATGCTACAGGTCAGTCATACCCATCCCAACCCTCTCCCCTCATTGAGATTGATGAATTCTGTAAATCTATTGTTGGGGGAAAGTAAGACCCCTGATTGATTGATTGAATATGTATGAGTCTGCTCCTGTGCAGGTTTGGGAGGCTGCCACCCACCTGTGCGATGCTAGGCCCTGGACAACTGAGGATGACAGAAACTGTGGGGTGAGGGGAGTGGAGGGGCTCTCCATCTCATCCTACTGCTCCACATTTCTTCAGCAACCTTTTTAATTCCTTAGGAGAAATCTCACCCCACACCCCCCTTACTCCTGGGTTCCCACCTATTAGCTGAAGAAGGAGCAACTACGTCAAGGAGAGCCATGCCCCACCCTTCATTCAAACCTCCCTTTTTTGGAAGCGCGATTTAAAAAGGTGATGTTTTCCCCAGGGCAAAAACGAAAGCAAACACTTCCTTATAGGGATCTGGAAATGTATTTAAACTAAAACATTAATAGTTAAACTCCTTCTCTCCCAAAGAAAAGTTGGCTGAGAGAGTCTAAAGAATTCGGCGGCGGGTCGGATTGGTCGCACACAGCCGCCGCTGATTGTAAAGGAATTTCTGCGCTGAACTTCCAGAGATCTTGAATCTGCGACCCCCGCCCGGAGTGGCAGCTGAGCCGCCGGCGCGAAGCGAGCGGGGATTGGTTGTCTGGACGGCCGGGCCACCGCGCCTGCGCAGTCCTCCCCTCAGCGCCACCCTGCCCGGCGCCCAGTCGCCGGTCTGTGGCCTCTAGGGATCGGGCGTCAGCCGGCAGTATAGCCGGCAAGTGGACAGCCGCGCGGGCGGACAGGTGGGCCCGACTTGCTCGTTATCGGGAGAAAGGAGAGGGCCACTTTCTAGGGCCCCAGCATCTCCCCAGTTCCAGGAGCCTGCCCAGCCCCGCGAGGGAGACGCTGAAGGAGCAGCCGCCGGTCTACCGGGTACAGCCGCCGCCATGGCTGCCATGATGGATCGGAAGTGAGCCTCGGGGCCAGGGCTGCGGGCGCCGGCTTCTAGAGTCCCGGCTCCCCGGCCGCCCCTACCTGGGGAAGCGCGGCGCGGCGCGGCGCGGCGGACGGCTGACTCTCAAGTCCCTTGCGACCCCGGACCCTCAGGTCAGGCCGCTCCCTCCAAGACTGAGAGGCGGGGAGTGGCTCCCGGCCTCTGGCCCGGGCTGCAAGGAAGATGGCGGACCCAGCCGAGTGCAACATCAAAGTAATGTGTCGCTTCAGACCTCTCAACGAGTCTGAGGTGAACCGCGGCGACAAGTATATCGCCAAGTTTCAGGGAGAAGACACGGTCATGATCGCGGTGAGTGACCCCCGCCCCCACCTCTCGTGCGGCTTCTTGGAGCCTGACTGGGCTGGGAGTTCAGGGACGTGGCGGGGTGCAGAATCGAGAGGGAACACTGGTGTCCCGAACACTTTCCTGCGGGTTTTCGCAGGTTCAAATCACTCAGTCGTGGAAACTGTTCAGTTGAGTCCAGTGGCATTCCTGGATCGTCCCCACCCGGGTCCTCTGCGCGGGGAGATGGGAGGCGCCTAGGCTCAGCCTGGGACACTCCCCCACCTGGGGCTCTGGGGGAACCCTCGAGCTTAGGGCACTTTTGCCAGTGTTTGTGCTCCTACTGTTGCTGATGCTGTTGGTATCTTGGATTATGCCCCCCGTCTCATTTACCATTCATTAAATGTGTAATATTAATTCCGAGTTTAACTAAAGCATTGAGCCATGAAACCAGCCCTAATGTATCTTAACTCTTACGATGCTTAGTATAAAACTAGTTTTGGAAAGCTAACGTACCTGTCTCAAATGTTCACCTACCTATCTTTTGAGAGATGAATGACTTTTCATTTAAACAGTTACTGTGAAAAATCGAGGACGGTAAAAAGAAATCGTCTTCCTTAAAATCGGAATTATCAATTTAATTTTATGGTAGATTTAAGCAGATTAAGATTTGAGAGTCAGAAAAATTCAGACTCTCAAATTTACTCGGTTTTATGGGGTAGCAGTTTAGGAAAAAGTGTTACCACTGTATCAGACAGAAAGTACTAATAAAAACAAATTTATAAAAAGTAACAGTTGAGGGCTGGGGTTGTGGCTAAGTGGTAGAGGGCTTGCCTTGCACATATGAGGCACTGGGTTCAATCCTAAGCATCACATAAAAATAAACAAAATAAAGATATTTTTTAAAAGTAACAATTGACCATTGTTGGATTCATATTTATACAGTTAAGGTCCACGTTGAAGAAAATTGATTTTGGTAATCCCAGAGATAATAAACCATTGTTCTTTCCTCGGGTAGAACAATTAGTTTTGACTATCATTTAGGAAGACCAGAAGTGAGGATTTTTTGAGATCTGAGAAAGTAGCATTTTTAGTTCTAGTAGATTAAATGTGAATAAGATATTGCATACAATACAGTGAACTATGACTAAAAATTAAATTCATCTATTTTGGTAATGTCATGTGGTAGTACTTTTTTTTTCCTACATTGTTATCAGGGTATACAATTGTAATATGTTAGTACATTGTTTCCTCTAATGCATTTTTTTATTTAGTGTATTGTTTGTGCTGTTTAATTTGGAAATAGAACAGAGAGGTCACAGGAGATGAGACATTGATGACTTGAAAGTATTAATGTAGAAAACAGGACTGAATTTGTTTGGAATTTTAATGTGAAGGTTTCCAAAGTTCAACTTTAGAAAATGAATGTGTTAACTTATCCTCTTAATAGGCTTTTGAGGGAAAAAAAGAAAAATCATTAGGTCACTAATAACTGCAAACTGCTGCTGTGTGAAAACTGTCAAGCCAGTTCTTTGTTAACAAGTCTGCAAGAAAAACTCTAGCTATAAATGACATCATAGCAAGGCGGAGAAGTTAAGCACAGTGATCCTTTTCCTTTAGGAGGATATATTTTCCATGGCATTGACATGGAATGAGTGGATGCATGAGACTCCTGGATTAGTTGTCAAACTTGAGGCTACCAGTTTCTTAAGTTTTTGTGATTACTCAGCAATGCTTTACTTAACATAGCTATTTTTTCTTTCCCACTTGTATTGCCTCTTCAGACTTTTGTTTTTAAACAAACCTATGAGTATAAGAATTGTGTTTGTTGGAATGCTAAAATCTAGGACTCACAAAATTATTATGATTAGGTTAGAAAGTAAACTTTTTTGCTCAAATATGACTTAAAATATGAAGAAAGACTTAAAAGAAACCAAATAATTACCATAGGAACCAAACATTATTCTAGGCCATTTCCTTTGGAAAATTTATGTTTCTTTCAAAGTAGGAATAAATGAAAATATTAGAAGTAAAGGATAGGTGTTTTGTTTATGAATCAGTAATAAGCATTTTGTTCACCTTTAGATAAACTTGTGAGCCTTTTGTTGGTCTTTTTAGAAAGTATAAGGGAAAATACATTATGATTCGGTTACATAGCCTTAAAAAGTGTAAGGGAATGGGTAGTTCATTATTTTCAGGAACTGCTTTCTTGCATATAATAGGTACATTTATTATGTGAAAATTGTGTATTTTGTTCAGTTTTTTCAATCAATCATAGGGCAACTGGAAGGAACAAAATTAGAAAATCTCCAGAGATTCATCTCCTGGTTTATTTTATTTATCTTAAATGTGATTTAAAAACATCTGAATAGTTCTCAAGTTAAAATTTTTTTCATCGCCTTATTGATAAAATTGAAGTATGATAAAATGCACATATTTGAAGTATGCAGTTTGATCAGTTTTGACATGTATGTAAACATTACATAAAAATTTAAACATGTGGGCTGGGGTTGTAGCTCAGTTGGTAAAGTGTTTGCCATGCATGTGTGAGGCACTGGGTTCGATCCTCAGCATCATATTTAAAAAAAAAAAAAAAACCCACAAATAAATAAAATAAAGGTATTGTATCTGTCTACAACTAAAAAATATTTTAAAAAATTTAAAACATGTATTTTGGCTTATGATGTTACGGAATTGTAAGCATAAACAGTGCTCATGGAGAAAATAATTTTTAAGGATTCTGGTTTTCTTCTAAGTTTAATTTTTTTTAATACTTTGTGTAAATATCATTCTGTTACACAAGGAAGCAGTGACTTTAACATAATATTACCCCATGGCAGGCAAGCCTTTTGATTTTATGGTGTTTTTCTTTGTGTTGTACAGCTTTTAATTTATTAGCAATTTAAATGCTTAGTGAAGTGCTATAAATATTACATTGAATGAAATGAATGATTTTTATGGAAATTTTAAAATGATACAAATATAATCAGTTTGTTTTAAATTAGAGAACTTACCCACAAAACAGGAAGTTCAAATGAGCTTGCTGAAAAACACTAAAAACAAAATCAATAGAAAAACTTCTGTGCCTGCTTATGCTCATTTGCATGATTAAATCATTGCTAATTGTAGTTTCTTATGTGGTATACTATAGAAGTTGGCTAGAACCCAAAACCACCTGTTGTAGTTCATTGAAATTAGAAAAAGAATACTAATTAGATCATCTTGCCCATTTCCTTGCCTAAAGCAAAATATGATTTCCCTTTTTAAGTCATCAATGATTTGGGCGTGATTTGATGGTTTACTTTGTATGAAAATCGCAAGAGGGAACCATCATCACTTACCTTTATAATTGTGGAATGTTAACCCAAAGTCATTGTCTGATACAGAAAAATCTTAGGGGATGTGCTTCAAAACCAAATTTGGTATTCAGTCTGGTCTGTTTTAGACTCAAAACAGGCTCACTTCATTTAAGAAATCTGAGGTATGAGTTCTAGTTCAGATAAACTTGTTCTTTTTCATTTTTCCTCCTGAAGCCTAAGTCAGATATGAATGCATCTTATGACTTGAGGTTTGTAATACTGAGTAATTTTGAAGATACATAGAATTATAGGCTGCATCATGTATATTTCAAGTCTAAAAACCAGGTTTTAAAAATATAGCTGTTTGGATAATTATTTTTCTTTGTTTAATCTATTTGAAAAATTTAGATGCCTTAATTATACACCATTACAAATAAATTTTGTTTCACAGTCTTGATTTCAACCCAGGAAGCCAGGGTCAATTAATAACTTTTCAACTAGATCTTTAATCAAAACATTCACCTTGCTTACTAAAACTATAATTAAGTTTTGCAGTCAAGAAGATTACTCGTCAACTTAATGCTAAGCATTTAAGTTGATTTTTTTGTTTAACAATTAATTATATAAATCACTCTCTTTCAACTTATTTATTTTTATATTTGTGCTTTATCTTTTAATCATTGACATTTATTCTGGTGCGGTGGCCTATGGCAGTAATCCCAACAACTAGGGACTAGGCTGAGATAGGAGCATCACAGATTTGAGGCCAGCCTCAGCAACTTAGTCATTGCCATTTATATTATTTTAATAAGGTTGTAGTSGTAGTTTTGCATATTTGCTTCGAGATGCTAATAAAGTAAATAATTGCATGAAGTTCTTTTAAGGCAGGCTTTACTGTTACCCATCATTTCTAGCATATCTCTTTGTAAATGGTTTAGGACCACTATTTTTGATTGATATAAAAATTGAGTTATGATATTAAGCCGAGTAATATTATTCTTTCTGTTTTAAATGTTTATTTTAATAAGGTTTTATTATTTTTGAAGGGATACTTCATAGTTTTCCCGATTTTCTATTCATTAACTTATTCATTTTCTATTCATTAATATTCTTAGTATATAACTTCTGTTGATAATCAAGCTCTACCCAGCCTTATCCTTTATTACTTTTTGAACTCTACAGTCTATTGTATAATTAAATATCATTTATAAAATTGTGTTATTTATCCATAATATCTGATATTTTATAATCATTAAGTGTTTTCTGGATAAATAAAGAGGAAAGATTGTTTTCTTTTTATATAGAAAAACTATTTGCATGGTTTATCTCTGGGTGGTGAATATTCTTTTTTTTGGTACTGGTGATTGAACTCAGGCACTCAATCTCTGAGCCATATCCTCAGCTCTGTTTTGTATTTTATTTAGAGACTGTCTCACTGAGTTGCTTAGTGCCTTGCTGTTGCTGAGACTAGCTTTGAACTCATGATCCTCCTATCTCAGCCTCCTGAGCTGCTGGGAGTGAATACACTTTTAATTTTATATGTTTTCAGTGTTATTTACCATGAATATGTCTTTTATATTTGATTGTGTTTTTTAATTAACCATAACTGTGGAATTGAATATTAATGTTTCAGTAGCACCTTAGCAAAAGATACTTTCATCTATGTTATAGCTAAAGAATAATCAGACATTGATGCCATTTTAAAATTGATGACAAAGTGAGGTCATCTTAATGTATTTATGAGGAATGCTTTTAGAAGTACAGGGAAAACAAACAGTAGTGGCTTCAATACATAGGAGGTTATTTCTCTCACATAACAAAAGTCTAAGAACGGGCCCTTAACTCCTATTTCTAGAACCCTGTTCTGTTAAATTCTTGTCATTCATAACTGTTGAATTTTCATCATAATATTTGTCATGTTTCCAAGATGGATGCTACAGTTCCAGTGATTCATTATAGGAAGGAAAAAGAGCAGTTTCAGCTGAAATGGTCCCTTTTATCAGGAAAACAACACACTTCTCAGAGACCTCTCAGCAAATGACCATTTCAGAATATCCAGAATTAGGTCATGTGACCACTAGTTGCAAGGAGACTAGGCTAGCTGGCCTTCAGGTTTCCAATGGGAGGTAGCAAGGCAAAAGGGAATTAGGAATGACTTTGGATAGCTCTTTAGGGAGTGTCTGCTTCATTTTAACTGTTTTCCAAGGTTTGGGGAGAGGACTATAAGATAATTTCTGAAAAAGTAGATCTTTTCCAACTAAGACCTAGAAAGTATTCTATAATGTTGTTTTTTCTGGGGTCATAATTGTTTTGTCTGTTAGGGCCCAGCTACTTTTCCTTTAGAAGAAACTGAGGACAGGCAAATGGTTGCAAATACCCAGAACCTCCTGTCCTCTTTCTCTCATCTTTAGATACTCACTCTCCCTACTAGATTATTTGATTGTTCCTGCTAGTGTTTATACTTATTCATGTCWGCCCATCTTTTAAAAATATAAGCGAATAAAGTAGACCACGGCCAAATTTTCTGTTCTATTTGGTTTCTTCCCTTCTTCTGTTCTTTTTTTTTTTTTTTTTAACCTATTGCAACCTTATACTTTTCAGTTTTGTCTTGGCCTCAGGGCTATATTTTTTTTCTTTGATTTACCTGGATACTATATTGTGATTCTTTTCTACTTCCTTTGGTTTCTTGAATGCTATAAGCTCCTTTCTGCTTTAGAATCTTAAAGCATCTATTCTTAATTCCTACACTACTATCCTTCACTAACCTCCACCCCTTCCTGATTGTTGTTGAAGAGGGTGACAGTGAGCTAGGTGCTACTTATTCTTAGATTCTTAAACATCTCTTTTCTAAGAGTGTTTTCCTGACATTTTCCTACTCTCTCCTAAATTCAAGTTCTCCTGTATTCTCTTAGAACTGTGAAAGTACCCAGCTGCATGAGTCAGAATTCTAGTCAGTTAATAGTCTAACTAGTCTGCCCCACTATTACTTAATCTCCACTAAAGTAAAGAGAGTATCATCTTGGTCATCATTCTTTGGTGGCATCTCACATTCCATAAATATATGTTAAATGAAACAGTGCTTCAAAAGCTGTTGCAGTAAACTGAAAAGCTGAGTAGAGTAGTAGAAAGAGGCCTGATTTTAGTATAATTGTTTTACTAACAAAATTAATGGAAGTATTTGAATTCAAATTTAGTTTTCTCATTAACAATTTTTGTAAGTAACTAGGACTTTGAAAGTCCTAGTTTCCTTATCTACAAAACCATATTAAGCATTGAAAATAGAGACACAATGCTTGCCAGAGTAGATATTAAAAAAAAAAAAAATCAGCAGTATCTGACTGGCTACCATAGTAGTGCTAATTGTAATTACTGGACTGGGCCCTAGGAACATAACAAAGACTAAAACAGAAATTCTTGTTTTCATAGAGATTATTCTAATGGATTTGTACATGGGGGAACCATTTAAGATCCCTTCTACTTAAGATAAATAACATGAAATGATGCATACTGTGTATGTTACTTTGAAGGTTAAATATATGATGACATCTTTAAGGGAGCTTAGAAATATGCTCTCACCATTTTATTGGTGTAATTGAAATGCTTTTCTGTTTTTCAGTCCAAACCTTATGCATTTGATCGGGTGTTCCAGTCAAGTACATCTCAAGAGCAAGTGTACAATGATTGTGCAAAGAAGATTGTTAAAGGTAAATATATTTAACTTGATGTATGCAGTTTACTTATTATAGTCCAAGCAGTAAATAAAATTTGTTTGTGATTTTTTCACATTTACACAACATTTGCTTTTTCATTATAATGCCCCTTTCTTTTAAATTAGTTGCAGAATAAAAATTTTAAATAATAAATTACTATTTAATTAGTAAATACTCTATAATGCTCAAATACCATGATCTCATTCTCTTATTCAAGGGTGTTCTAAGAATTATCTTACATACTTGTTCTTGAAAGATGTATTTCTGTTAGAAACTAGAAGTTTCCAAGGTAGCAATTCTAAAAATAGAACAGCATGAAAATGAAAACAAAATGGCTAGACAAATTTCAAAAAAACAGTAGAAAATGGCATTTATCTTTCTTTAGTTTCATTGTTATTCCTTCTCCCAAACTTTTGTAGTCAGCAGAGAAACCTTTGAGAAACTTAACAGCATTTGCCAAGGGTGAGAAAAGCATGCACAGTCCAGTTAATACTGTTACCTTATACTAGAATATGTCCCAATTTTATATTTTCTAAAATCATAGAATTCTAGATTTGAAAGGATGCTGAGTTGATTGCTTATTTTCCAGTTACTATAAAAGTACCTTTTTCAAAGGAATCCTACAGTTAATTAGCTATTTATGATACAATTCATTTCATTTTTTTGACACCTGTAGTGTTAAAAGGGGCTCTTAGATTGAAGCAAAAAATCTCTTTTTTCTTGTGGCATTTACTCAAATTAGAGGTTGGGATTTGGTATAAAAGGTTAGATTAAGTAGGAGCACAGACAGTAAGTAGTAACATGAGAAGAAGTGGAGTTTGTGGATAGAAGTGAGTTTATAGATGTGATGGAAAATGTAGACAATCTTTTCATATTAATACCATATTGTCTGTGATATAAGAAGCAAAGTCATCACAAACAATGGGGAAGAGAGGGGGGAGGTTTAAGGAAAGACGTGAAATGGATGGATTAGGAGAGGGTAGTGGTATTAGTTAAGGACTAGATCATAGAAAAATTAGTATCTTAGAGGCCAGGGTGTTTTAGTGAGTCATCTTCTATATGGACACTGAGATCACCAAGAATTGCAACAGGAGTGGTATTGGTGAGAGACAGTAAACTGGGTGTTGAAATCTTTATAAGAGGAGAGGGAATTAACTTGTGACTAGAAAAAAGAGGTATAGGTAGTGTCATCTTATGATGTGAGCATCAGATAATTTTCCAAATGGATCTATTATTGAACATAATTACTACATTCTTTGTGATGTCTTATGTCCTGATGTCTAAAGTAACGTATCTACTACTTTTGTTCTGTTTTATTACTGTTTAGAATTCTAAACATCTGTTTTATAACTGTTTAGAATTCTAATGCATCATGTGTTTCTTGAAATTTTCCACTTTTCTAAAAGATTAGTTTTTTGTTTTGTTTTTTTTTTTGTACAAGGGATTGAACCCAGGGGCACTTAACCACTGAGCCACATCCCCAACCCTTTTTATTTTTTGAGACAGGGTCTCACTAAGTTGCTGAGGCTGGTTTTGAACTCATAATCTATTTCCCTTTGGCCTTCTGAGCCACTGGAATCATAGGTATGTGCCACTGTGTCCAGCTCTTATTAGCTTTTTAAATACAAGGACATGATTGTTCCTTGAGCTGTGGGCAATTTAAATGTTCAGATCTTTTTCACATGAGTTACAGCCAGTTTAAACCCCATTCTAGACTTGTACACCACAGTGCAGGCCTTTAAAGAATAGGTTCCATTTTGTTCATTTTAGCTCCTGATCATATTTTAGTGTTGTTTTGATATTTGTCTTACTCTAGTAACTCTACCAAGTTAGGACTGTTAGCATATTTGTTAAGTCATTTATGGTGTCTAGGACATCAAAGTTTAAAAAATATTATTTTAAATCATCTGTAAATGCTTAGTGGATTGTGGTCCTTAGACCAATTTTCTGAAAACTAGAAAATGCTGGCTTTTAATTAAATCACACTGCTTGGTGGTATTCAGCCAACTTCAGAGCCTGTCACCTGTGCAATCTGGTTCATTGTCAAGATACCTACAAAAAGATAATGAAAAATTTGGTTCTTTCTGTGAAATTGTGTTCCATGACTCTGGTATTTCCCCCACAGTACCAACTGAATGTAAAATCAAACAAGAAATTAAGTTAGTTTGATCATATTTTTTCCTTATGAAATTTTGGTATACTTGTTTATAGTTCCCATAATCTATTATTTTTTTCCTTTTTGGTAATGAGTATAACATTCGAAAGTTATTCATATCCTGTAACCTTTGTTCTCTCTTGACTTTTAAAATTTACCTGCAGTAACTGAGAGATTTTTATCCCTGGAATTAATTATCTTTGTAACTAGAAATTTGGGCTCATTTAAAACCTTTTTTCCTGTCATCCTACCCACACATCAATTCTTTCCAATTTATTCTGGTTTTGTTTTGAGGATCATCTTCCTGGAAGATAGTGATAAAATAGGAACATCTCTGTTTTGGAATCAGTTAACATCCTCTTTCTTAAGCAGTGCAAGTTTATTTGTTCATTAATTATTTTTTTCTGGGTATTGCTTCCAAAGCTCATTTTTGGGCTTTAGGGTTTTTTGTTTTGTTTTGTTTTGTTTTTTGTTTTTTTGCTTTTATAAGATTTATCCTGGGTGTTTACCTTTCACATACTGTTTTAGTGATTTTTTTTTGTCTTTTGTAAATTCTTGATTATATATAGTCTTTTAAATAATAGACTCATACCTACCATTCTCAGAATGCTTTGAAATATGTTGTCCTGATATCTAGGGTACATGTACTACTTTCGTTCTATTTTATTACTGTTTGCAATCCTAAAACAAAGATAATTTATTTCCTGAAATTTCCCTCATTTTAAATTTTTAGTTCCTTTGACATTTTTCTATTTTACTGTTTGGAACTGAGTTCAGGATAATAGTTCTCTTTTGCAGTACGGTTAAGAACATAGAATTTATTATCAGACAGACCTACATTGAAGTCTAAGCTCTTGTTGCTTTTTAGCTGTGTGACTTTTGATGAGTTACCTAATCTTTCATTTTCTCTTCTGCAAAATAGGAGATACTATAAGTTCTTACACAACAGATATCAGCTACTGTTTCCTCTATCTTCTGAGAAAAAATTGTTAATTCAATTTACTGAGACTGTACCTGTATATTTGCACTCTGCAAAATTAGATGCCCGACAAGTGTTGGGATAGAAAGTTTCTGTCATTATCTTTCTTCCTTTTATATGCCAACTTTGTAATTTATATTAGTACAGTGTCACCTGGCTATGACTTCCTTTTGTCTTCACCTCGTCGTCTCTACCATTTTAGGGGAGCCTGAATGTGGTAGCTAGTAGGACTTGTCTTGGCTAAGGATGTGAATGTGACATTTACCACTAAACAGAGGTTTAACTGGACACAGTGGCACATGCCTGTAATACCAGCAGCTTGAGAGGGTGAGGAAGGAGGATCACAAATTCAAGGCCAGCCCTGGCTACTTAGTGGGACTCTGAAAGGGGAAGTACTGAGTTCTAAAATATAGTGAATTATATTCTATGAATGTATAATTATGTCAAAATGAACCCACCTATTTTGTATAACTATACTGCACTAATAAAAAACATTTAAAAAGTACAAATAAATAAAAAGAGCTAGGTATATACGTCAGTGGTAGAGTGCCCCTGGGTTTAACCCCTACTACCACAAAAACATACATACATACATATGCAGAGAGATTTAAGGAAAAAGATGGTGTGGGTGCCTAGAGAAGTGGGAAGATAGGAAATCAATTAAATATAAGGCCAATTGAACTTGGTACAATCATTGATAAATCAGTTAGATGAAGGACACAGAAGCTGTTGGTGGGCAAGATCAGCATTATCATGGGCCAGTTTGAATTTCTCCTGAGATGTTGATTTGACAGGTAAGTTGCCAGAAATGAGTTGAAAACAGATAGTACTCTCTGGGTCCCTGTCAGTGACATTTCATCGTGTTTGCATCAGTTCATAAATATCTGTACAACTATAACATTATTATGTATGGGGCTGTTATCTTTTTGTAAATTCATTAGTAGAATTGCTTCTTTTGAACAAGACTTATCCACTTGTATTCTCTTTTGAATTCTGAATCTGAGTAAGTCCGTTGAATTTGTTGCCCCTATATTAAGTAGTTGTTCATACAATGCCATGTATAACACCAAACCTTCAGAGATTTCTTTGTTTCCTGCCATAGCTACCTGGACTACCTGCCACTTCTGATTTTTCCACATGTAGTCTGCTACATATGATTTTATCTCTTGTGCTTCTTGAGAATATAGTACAGGGATTAAGATTATGTCTCTGCAGACAGAAGTGTGTCTTAAAGGATACACAAAGACTAAGGAGAAGAGAATGGTGCCTTCCAACCAGAGAGATGACCCCTGGACCAAACCATTGCATGTGCAGAAATAGCAAACATTTATACTATGACTTTGAAGTTGAACCATATGAAATTTAAAAGTACCTAATTTTATCTGATTACAGTTTTGTGTTCCCTAGAATTTCAAATAGTTGAGTATTATTTGTATACTTTAAAATATACACACCTAAGGAAAAATGTAAAATACTGAATTCTAGTTAGAAGTGTATATGCATGGTGAAATATCTAAGTGAAAATATACTGAAGTGTATTGATGTCTGCATTTTACTTTTAAATTATTAGAGGAGTGGATAAATATGTGATTAATAGAAGCAGTAAAAATATAAAATGTTGGTGGTAGAGTATTTGATAATAGGATTGTTCAGTGTAAAATTCAGATTTTTACACATTTAAATTTTAAATTTTTATAATTAAATGCTTAGGGTAAAATTGCTGTAGAAAACAGGTTGAGATTTGAAGATAGAGGAAAACATATTATAGTCGACCCTCAGTATTCTTAGGTTCTGCATCCACCAACCTCAGATAAAAAATATTTGAAAAATTATGTCTGTGCTAAATATATACAGATTTATATATTTCCTGAACAATAAAATATAATATCTATTTATATAGCATTTCCATTGGATTAAGTATTATGAGTAATCTAGATATGATTTAAAGTATATGAGAGGATGTGCATAGGTTAAATGCAAAATACTATCTCATTTTATGGAAGACTGAGTGAGCATTTTGGTTACCTGTAGAAGGCCCTGTAATCACCCTTCTTGGATAACAAAAGACTACTATATGCTTCTAATTGATTAAAATACTCATTTAGTACATATGACAGGTCTAAAAATCACCTAATCAATCATTATATCTCCTATTCCCTGAGCAAAGCCTAGATCATAGTGGACACTAAACAAATATTTCAGTGTCAATCTCTAGAATCATAAAACTTTTAAAGATATGCTTAAAATATCATTTGTTATCTCTGGACTTCTCGTATGCTATGTAGTTTCATATAGCATAAATATACTATGATAATGGATATTCACCTACAGATATTTACTTAATACCTATCATGGTAATAGCAAGATCATCTCATGAAAGTACCTTTTAAAGTTCTAACAAAATTTTATGCTTAAGTTTTATGTAATCGATTAAAACATCTCAAGCAGGGAATGTGGCATAGACCTATTGAGAATAGTTTTATATAAAGGAGGTGAATTGGAATGGGTCTAAAAGGTTTATTTCCTAAATAATCTTTTCTGAAGAATTACTGACAAAGGTGTCGCAATCCCATCTATCATAAATGTGCTTTGTGAGATGATTTTGTGCCCCATCTTAAAAATAAAACCAATTTTGAAGGAAAGTTTCAAATGTTTGGAGTCTCTTAAAATTTTTAAATCTGGGCTGGGGATGTTGCTCAAGCGGTAGTGCGCTCGCCTGGCATGCGTGCGGCCTGGGTTCGATCCTCAGCACCACATACAAACAAAGATGTTGTGCCCTCTGATAATTAAAAAATAAATATTAAAATTCTCTCTCTCTACCTCTCTCTATCTCTTTCTCTCTAAAAAAAAATAAAATTTAAATCTTCTGGGGAATTGAGTACTGATGCCTTCTTTTTCTCATTAGCTTCTGTAGTAAATCTTTTGTCTAGTTACATGTGTCTGATGTTGGGAGTTTGTTTCCTTTTCCTTTTAGAAATAATAAAAACAAGGATTCACTTGCTTACTGCTTTAGTTTTTCCTGTCACCATCTGCTGTTTGTAACAGAGGCWTTTTATTTTGCCTTCCTTGAAAATATGACAATTATATAGGACCTTTCTTATCATCAAAACCAAAATAACAAAATCATTGAAACTGAAAATCTAAAGGTTGCCTTGTTTGTAACCTTTTTTTTTTTTTTTAAATCTCCTTCAGCCTCATAGTGGAAGATACTTAATATGTTAATGGTAGATCTTGGAGTTAAAAAAGATATTTTTGTAATTTCATAAGAATATTCTGATAATTGTTTTTGAGATAGGGCTGAGTGTGTTATGTTTTATGGGTGGGGTAAAGAGAAAAGTATGGGTTTGTGAGGTTTAACCACCAGTTAATTATAATTAATCCTGTTTCTAAAAACTAATTCATGTCTGTATATAAGGATTTTTTTCTTTTAGGTCACAATACTTTGGAATACAAATGTAATGACATTTGAAATACATTGATTTGAGATGATTGGTTATAAGTAATCTAATTTAAATTTTGTTTCTTAATTGATCATAGAAAGTAATTTAGGTCTGAGGGTAGGAAATTGCTTAGATGGATCATCACTAAGAAAAATTATTATGAAATATATTATTTATTTTCTTTTGATGTCTTTATAAATCCTTTCTGTACTAAACTTTGATGGACCTTGATGGACTCTTTCACTTCAGTGTAAAGAAAATCTGAATCTTATCATTCTTCCTACAAATATTGTATTATTGCAGAGTTGAATATACATGGGTTAAGAACATAGTTGTGTTGGTGAATTTGTTTAGAATGGTTTATATGTCACTAAGGTTAGGTGTGACTTTTCCTATAACATTCTTAAGTAATTTTTTATGAATCTTACTGAAGGAACACATTCCCTGACTTATAAAATCTCTTATTTTCTCATAGATGTACTTGAAGGATATAATGGAACAATATTTGCATATGGACAAACATCCTCTGGGAAGACACACACAATGGAGGTAATACTTTATAATCTGTACTTGAATATGGTTTGCAGTACAGACAAGTCATTCATTATTTGTGAGATTATTTTACTATGCTTAAATCTTTATTCTTTGTTGCTTTTCCTCATATAAATAATATACAGGGAACATCATTGTTGGAATCAAATTAGTTCCTGAGTTTGAATAATAAGGCATAACCTATGCTTGAAGTATTATGTACCTTTATCTTATCAATTAGCATAAGTGATAACATTTTAGAGTATAACAGGGATTTTCTGTCACCCCCTTATTACATGGGAAAATTTGGATTCTTATGTGTTGTTTATTCTATTTAGAGACATTAATTTTTTCTCCATTCCTTGACCCCTCCCTCCAAAATACCTGCAACATTTCTCAGATAAGAAAGTTGTCACAATTATCAGTGCTGCTGTTAATAATAGATGTAGTGTGTTCTAGCTTTGCTTCTATAAAACAGCCTGTGATTCTCTACCACTGGTTCAGGTCGTCTGCTTTTATCATTTATCTGAGGATAGTAAGCAAAGTAGTTGACTTCTTATTTTGGTATAATTTCTAATACTCATTCTCATAAAGTAATAGAGAATAAAGACATTCCTAATGTTTGCATGAATTTGATTTGAAGTAGAAGGAACAATGCAGACTTATATGGAAAGAAACTAAAACCTTTTCAAATATATGCATTTTACAAGCATTGGTCATCTAGATGTTGTGATAAAGAGCGAGGATCAGTTGATAAACTATGAGATTGATGTATGATATTATGTATAATTGTTGAATAGGATTAGGGGTATTTGTAGAGCTATACATTAAAAAATAGCTATTACAAATTTTTTTCCTATTGAATATAAATTATAGATTGAAAGTTTTCATTTTTAATTTATATTAATTTAAGAAGTCTAATTTTGTTTTCCATATAGGGTAAACTTCATGATCCAGAAGGTATGGGTATTATTCCAAGAATAGTACAAGATATTTTTAATTATATTTACTCCATGGATGAGAATTTGGAGTTTCATATTAAGGTAAATCCTTTTGGGAAAATTGTGTTTAGGCCTATACCAGAATAATTTTTTTCCAAAAGAATAGTAAAATTATTTTTTCAGCCATATATAGTTGAAATGTAGTAACCTTGATTCTTATTCATATGCCACTAGATTACTTTAAATACGTCAATTAAGTCTATAATTTTTTTATCATTTATCTGAGGATAGTAAGCAAAGTAGTTAGCCACCTTCTTTTTTTTCTCTAGCCACCTTCTATATAAAATAAAAAAGCTTGTTTTCTGTTCTATCTAGTCTGATTTATTTTAGATGAAGATATAATAATAGAAATTGCTTTTAATTTTAAGTATTTAAGCAACTTAATTAATCTATGTCTTTCTATTAGAATGTGAAGTGTCAACTAATTAATCTATAACTCTGTCCCCCTAGTGTAGTCAGACCTCATTAAATATTTAATGGGTAAGTGAATAAGCTAATTTCTAATTTTAATGGCTTGATCTTTTTTCTTTGCCCTTTAGGTTTCATATTTTGAAATATATTTGGATAAGATAAGGGACCTACTAGATGGTAAGTTAAAATTTTGCTTTTTGTTCATTTTTAAGTGGTACCTGTTACTTTTAGTAGAATGAGACCATTTCTTAATAAGTTATATATGAAATTGACTTAAATGATAGGAAATGGGCATTTAAAGTTTTGCTTTTGAGGTTCTAGGGAATATCTTTTGACATACAGAATAATTGATTTAAAGAATATACTAGTGAGTACTTTTTAAACAATACTTAGAATTGAGAGTTACAGAACCCGAGTTCTGATGAGCTGTCCGTTAGATACATTGTCCATATATAAACTATTGAATCACTTAAGCTTAATGTTCTTATTTATAAAATGTGAGTAATAGAGGTTTGAATGGACCTAAAATTGTATATTGCTGCATTGGTTTCTATTGAATTTCCAATTGTATATAAAATATTGCTTTAGGAGCAGTATTTTTATATTTTTAAAAGTTTACTTTTTTAGGCTGTTCAAGGAAGACTGTTATTTATAGGAGTTATTTCATAGCTAGTGTTAAAGTTTAGAGTAATATTGATCATATTATTTATTTTTAATTTTCAGTTTCAAAGACCAACCTTTCAGTTCATGAAGACAAAAACAGAGTTCCCTACGTAAAGGTACTTATTAAAATAATAGAGAATGTTTAGAATAGCCTCGTAACAAATTTTTTGAAGAATATTGACCTACTTTTAAAAACAATTATTTCACAGGGGTGCACAGAGCGTTTTGTATGTAGTCCAGATGAAGTTATGGATACCATAGATGAAGGAAAATCCAACAGACATGTAGCAGTTACAAGTAAGTAGGAAATTTGTTAATACTACTTAGGAAATAAGTCAAATTTTATATCCTTAAGGATATGAGAATGACTGGATTTATTTCTAGTTGATTAATTGCAAGGCTTTTCTTATATAAACTAATGCTTTAGGAAAATTAATTAGTGAAGGAAAGCTGTGTTTATTATTGTTTATTTTCTTTTCAGATATGAATGAACATAGTTCTAGGAGTCACAGTATATTTCTTATTAATGTAAAACAAGAAAACACTCAAACAGAGCAAAAGCTGAGTGGAAAACTTTATCTTGTTGATTTAGCCGGTAGTGAAAAGGTAAAGTCTTAATTTATATACTCTCATAGATATTTAAGCATTTTTCTAAATCTTAAATTGGGATTTATGTAGTATTTCATTGTTATAATTTGAAAATCTATAATATTGTATTTGGTAATCTGAAAATTTAACTGCCAATGCTTTATGATTACGTAAGTTGAATTATCAGTTTCCAATTCGTCTGGCCGTATTTGGTTCAACCAGTAAGTACTATCTTGACTTAAAATCTATATTTTGATTGTTTAAAGAACCAATAAAAAACAAATTATTTGATGAGCAAAAAGAAGTCTAGCAGAATAGAGAAAGGGGCGGGTGATGACAGGAGGGAAAGGGGGTTCCTGAACTGAAATTGATTTTCATGCATGTATGAGTTTATCGGGTGAACCTAACTATGTATACTATGTATAGCCATAAAGCTCTTAAAAAAAAAAAAAAGTTGTTCAGCATATGTCATTATGCATTTTATTAGATATCTCTCTCTTAATTTTGCTATTTATTTTCTCTGTATTGACCATTAAAACTAGTCCCTTAGTCCTTTCTGGTTTCATCCTACAGTTGTTCCTCAGTGTCTGTGGGGGATTTTTTTCAGAAACCCCCCCAAGTCTCTATACCCAAATCCTCAGCTGCTCAAGTCCCTTATATTAAATGGCTTAGTGTTTGCATATAACCTATACTTAACACAATGTAAATGCTGTATAAATAGTTTTTTTTTAAGAGAGAGTGTGTGTGAGAGAGAGAGAGAGTTTTTTTTTAATATTTATTTTTTAGTTATCGGCAGACACAACATCTTTGTTTGTATGTGGTGCTGAGGATCGAACCCCGGCCGCATGCATGCCAGGCGAGCGCGCTACCGCTTGAACCACATCCCCAGCCCAAGTTATTTTATTTTGTTTAGAGAATAATGACAAGGGGGAAAAGCTTCTATATGTGTTCAGTGCAAATGAATTTTTTTTCCCTGAGTTTTTTCCATGGCTGAATGTATGGATACAAAAGGGTCCATTCTGCTTATTTATTTTCTTTCCTTTTGAATGTTTGTCATTATTATAATTCTGTTTAATCTAGTTCTAGTTTATGTTAAAATTTGAATGTTTGGATGTTTTAGTACGGACCTCTGTCACCATTATTATTATATTGTTCTGGTAATATCATTTCTTCGGATTAGAATAATGTATTTATTCCCTTCTACTCAAGTCTTGTATACATATTTCAAAGACTACCTCTCATTGTGCAAGAAACCATTTATTTAGTAACATTGCTAACTTACTGTTCTAACTTATCTTTAAAATGGTATTTAGACATTTTACATTTTTTTAAAAGAAGCAAGTTTTCTTATATGTTTAAACTGCTTTTTAAATTATAGCATCAATATTAGGCTTAGTAAAGTTTAGATTTTTTTTCAGTGTAGCAAAGGGACTAGCAAATTATTTAAATACAAATTTGCATGTCAATTGGTTATCTTCAGAAACACAGACCAAAAATAAAATTTGATGTCTCTTTAATCATATTTTTATGCAACTAGTTGTTTGATAAAGTCTTTAAAAGTAGAACTCAAAACATAGGAGTACCTTAAATGTTTGACAAATAGCATCATGAATCTTTCATTTTTTTCTCTTTTCTTCTGGTTACTAATGACCTATATGAGTTTTTTTTTTTGAAATTCAAAGAAAATCATCTTCAACTTTTAATTTTTTTTTCATTATTTGGGATCTTACGTATAGGTTAGTAAAACTGGAGCTGAAGGTGCTGTGCTGGATGAAGCTAAGAACATTAACAAATCACTTTCTGCACTTGGAAATGTCATTTCTGCTTTGGCTGAGGGTAGTGTGAGTATACATATTTTTAATTATCTTGTTATTTTATGGGGAATTATTTAACTATAGATGTATTCTTATGAGTAAGAGAAAAATAATATGTGTAATGTAGTCATCTTTTAATAATTTATATTATTAGTGTACATTTCCTAGTTCCCATCTTAATATCAAGCAGTTAAACTAACTGATTAATTATTTAGAGTAGTATATAACGTATTTATTATATAGAAACCCTTCAATCTTCTGTGTTTTCTTTGTTTTTGACTATAGACATATGTTCCATATCGAGACAGTAAAATGACAAGAATTCTTCAAGATTCATTAGGTGGCAACTGTAGAACCACTATTGTTATTTGCTGCTCTCCATCATCATATAATGAGTCTGAGACAAAATCTACACTTCTATTTGGTCAAAGGTTTGTTGTTAAGAAATCTAAGGCCTAGGGCTGGGGTTGTGGCTCAGTGGTAGAGCATTTGCCTTGAATGTGCGAAGCACTGGATTCTATTCTCAGCACTGCATAAATATAAAAAAGTAAAGATCCATCAACTAAAAAAATAAATAAATATAGGCCTTTTGTTTATTATATTTATTCCTGTCAAATATCTAATATTCAAATTAGTGCATATTATTGATGTGCTAGACTCTACTTTTTAATTTAACTAGACAAACTAGTTAGGTCTACATTTTATTTATGCTGCTTAAGTTTGAGTTGAATTTCATGACATTTAAAGTCAAACATTAACTTTAGCCAAATTTATGTGAGCAACTTTATATTCACCATTAATGCAAATGAGCATATGAAGCATATAATAAAGCCCAACAAATATAATCCTTCATTAAGCTTCTTTACATGCCTGACAGATTCAAATAATCTATAAGAATGTTAGTCTAGGAAAATCAATGGCAGTGACCTTATCTTTGACCTTTTAGTGATAATTTACTTTTTTAATTTAACTATGCAAATCACTTGAGAATATATGTACTTGTTTTTTTTTTTCAACTTAATGGGTGGTTGATTTTTTTTTTAATTTTTCATAGATTTTTGGGTCTGGCTCAAATTTAGCTGTTTTGTGAATAGAATGAGCACTCTATCTAATAGTTTTAGTATTTAGACTGAGAGAACTCCATGTTAACAGGACAGTCTGGAGCGTTACTTAACCATATAAACATATTACATAAAGATATGAGAAATAATTTCAGTCACATCCTTTTCCCCTCCAATTAACATTTTTTAGGGCCAAAACAATTAAGAATACAGTTTGTGTCAATGTAGAGTTAACTGCAGAACAATGGAAAAAGAAGTATGAAAAAGAAAAAGAAAAAAATAAGACCCTGAGGAACACCATTCAGTGGCTTGAAAATGAACTCAACCGATGGCGTAATGGTAATAACTTCAGAATTTGTCTGCTTACATTTTTTTTTTGAATAGAGATTTAGGCCTATTTTATAAACTTGAGGTTTTTGACATAAAATATAAATAAAAATTACAAAGCATATTTATTTTAAGTTTTGAAACACTTGGGAGTCTTCAAATAAAAAGGAAAATAAATCTTTTACATTAAATTTTGGTTTTACCTGACGTAGTAATTATATAGGCATGGGTGCTAATTAGAAAGTCACAACATAGCAGGGTGCCTAGATAAGGGTGGAGGCAATACAATGACAAGATTTGGTGACTGAATTTCAAAGAATAGAGGAGGATCAAAGATAATTCCAGATATTAGAATCTCAGAGACTGGACAGAAAAGAAAGTTGCTAATAGCTGTTAAAACTGAGTAAGAGAGGGACAGAGCAAGATGGTGACATAGGATGCTAGCAGTCATCCTCTGCAGAACCATGAATCTTGAATAACTGTCCAACAAGAAAATACCATGAGAGTTAAGAAACCAGGTGAAATCACAATACCTGTTTATAGCATAAAACTAGGAAAAGATTTAATGAAGAAGATAGAAAGCACAATTTTATCTTACCTGTGTCATCTCTTTCTCAGTCCCACATATCATAGTGTTTAGGAAAAAGAGAAGGAAATGAGCACAGAATTTTTCAGTGGACCCCAGGACACTAAAACCGAGCAGTAGGCAGGCTCCCATTGCCCTATCCAAGGAGTAACTTACAGACTGAGCCTTCAGATCATCTCAGTGTCAGGTGGAAAAGCCCAGACTCTGGACAGTCCTCAGCAACATGGCTGCTATTGCAACTCCAGTCTTACAGCCTATCCTAACACTAAACCACCCTAATGGCCCCAGACTATACAATTACTTCACAACAGCTTACCCGGAATTTCTGGGTGGGCTGACGGTAGAAGGGCTTTCCCAGATGAACCCAATCTACAATGACTGGAATAAATAGCTATTTCAAATGTGCCTCAAAGCACAGCCGTAAGGGTCAAGAACATTCAGGGAAAGGTGGCATCACCAAAGGGATAAAATAAGTGCTGGTGACTAACCCTAAAGAAATGCAGATACACTGGGTATAGTGGTGCATGTTTGTAATCCTGGCAATTTGAGAATCTGAAGCAGGAGGGTTGCAAATTTGAGTCCAGCCTGGGCAACTTAGTGAGAAGGCTGAAGTTCAGTGATAGAATGCCCCTGGGTTCAGTCCCCAGTACCAAAAGAGGGAAGGCATGAGGAGGAGAAAAGAAAAGGAGGGAAGTAAGAAGGGAGGAAAGGGAGATATTAGCTACTGGACAAAGAGTTGGAATTAACTGTCGTAAGCTGTGGAAATTTCAGGAAAATACAGAGAGAGAGAGAGAGTCCAATGAAAACAGTAAGTGACCAGAGTGAAAAATTTTAGCAGATATTGAAATAATTTTTAAAAATCAGCCAGAAATCCTAGAGCTAAAAAATACAACAAATAATGGGGAAAAAAAAGCAATGAGGAACACCAACAGCAGAATTGATCAAAGCAAAAGAATATGTAAACTTAAAGACATGTTATTTGAAAATATACAGTCAAGAAGGAAAGTAAAAATGAATAAAATTAAAATTAGTTTTAGATAGGTAGATTTTGATTAACCATTTTATTGTCTCATTTTAGGGGAAACAGTGCCTGTTGATGAACAGTTTGACAAAGAGAAAGCTAACTTGGAAGCTTTTGCAGTGGATAAGGATATAAATATTACCAATGATAAACCAGCAGCCACAATTGGAGTTACTGGAACTTTTACTGATGGTGAAAGAAGAAAGTGTGAAGAAGAAATTGCTAAATTGTATAAACAACTTGATGACAAGGTAGGCATTGTTCATTTTAGATCTTTTTTGTTGCAGAATATTATTAACAGGTATTTTTATTCTATTTTTTTTCAAATTTCAGTATTAAGGGTCTTTATGATATTTATACACATTCATTGATTTCTTTTAACCTTAAAAAATTGGTTAACCAGGTGTGATGGTGCATGCCTGTAATCCCAGTGACTCAGAATACTGGGGCAGGAGGATTGCCTCAGCAGTTGCATGAGACACTATCTCAAAATAAAAATAAAGAGATAGGAGGTATAGCTCAGAGGTAGAGAGCCCTCTGAGCTCAGTCCCCAATCATCCCTTCCCCCCACATACACACAGTTTTTTAAATGTATTTTAAACAGATGGTATGTGTAAAGTGGGCTACATGACCATTTTCAATAAAAACTTTAAAAAATCTTTTGTTTTTTTTTTTAGACATTGAAGTACTTAGTGAATGACTTTTATACCAATGATTGAAAGAAATTCTTTTTCTTTCAAAATTTTCTTAAGATGTAAGCTATGTTGAATTTATAGAGATGGTTTTGAAATATTTTGAGGAAAATTCATTTTTAAATTTATATTGGGAAACAGAACCAAGTTGTGAGCTACTTTTTAAACTGGGTACTTTTAAAATTCTAGGATGAAGAAATTAACCAACAGAGCCAACTTGTAGAAAAACTGAAGACACAAATGTTAGATCAGGAAGAGGTGAGTTAAATACCTTTTATGATGCTTCCAGAAAAGCTTTACAGTTGGTCTTTATCCTTTTAATATAAAAGGTGAAGGAATTACAGAAAATACATAAAAGATCGTATTTTGAAGTTTGAATTTCCTCTAACCTGGAGGGGAGAAGAGATCTTTTAAAAATATTCATTCTTTAGCAAACATCTATTGGATTGTTTTAATTATCCTCCACTTTGTTTTCGAAACACATTGCTGTTTATCTTTTTATTCTCCCTCAATAAAAAGTACATGAGGAAACAAATGTATAAACACATTTTTTTATATTCACTCATTCATTTAAACACAAGGTACAGGTCTAAAGTGTTAATTTTGAATATGACTCTTTTTGTGGGGAATTGAAAATGTCATGTGTTGTGGTCAGTTCATTTTTATGCTTATTTCTACTATAGCATTGTTTCTCAAAGTGGTATTTGACATGGATAATTTTTTTGTCTTATGCATTATATAGGACATTTAGCACCCCTCATCCCTATTTCTAAATGCTATTAACTCCCATTATTGACACTCTCACAAAGCTGGGGATGTAGCTCAGTAGTATAGTACTTTCCTGGGAAGTACAAAGTCCTAGGTTCAATCCCCAGCATTGTAAACAACTCTGAACCACTCATACACATTTCCTGATGTCCCTACTGAAAAGCTTCTTACCTGCATGGTTGTAGTATTTTCCTGACTAGTCTCTTCTTGTCCTTCCAGTTAAATTTTTATATGTTGATGCCATAGTTCTCTGAGGCATGGCACAGATGCTACTCCTTGTTTCACCCAAAATGAGTCTGAACTTTTTTTTTTTTTTTAAGAGAGAGAGAGAACTTTTTGATATTTATTTTTTAGTTTTCGGTGGGCACAACATCTTTTATTTTTATGTGGTGCTGAGGATCGAACCCAGTGCCCCGCACATGCCAGGCAAGTGCATTACCGCTTGAGCCACATCCCCAGCCCTAAACTTTTAAGTAATTCTTCTGAGTATATGACTTCTTGTGTCTGTGTATACTGTTCTTGAGTCTAGAATTCCTTTGTCTGCTATCAATTCTGATTTGCACAAGACTTAAATCTCCCTATCCTTAGCCGACTTTTTTATGAATTCCTTCGAGAAATATCCCCCTTTCTTATACTATCAAGCACGTTATTTGTCCCTTTCCTCTTTTATGGCTCTTACATTCCATCTTGTATTGCACTTATTTATGTGATGGTCTTCTCTTTTACTGGATTCTTCAGAGCCAATGTCTTTATTTTAATATCTGCTTTCCAGTTTGCCACAGTGTCTAGAAAAGTGCCTAGACATAATAGGCATTCAGTAAATCTGTTAAATTGATGAATATGCCTAGCACCCACATTTAATTTCCCTTGTGCTTAGCAATGATGAATGAATCAAATAGATTTTTTTTAAACCTATATAATTTCAGTACAAATAGATATTTTACTTTTTGTATAGCTTTTGGCATCTACCAGAAGGGATCAAGACAATATGCAAGCAGAGCTGAATCGCCTTCAAGCAGAAAATGATGCCTCTAAGGAAGAAGTAAAAGAAGTTTTACAGGCCTTAGAGGAACTTGCTGTCAATTATGATCAGAAGTCTCAGGAAGTTGAAGACAAAACTAAGGAATATGAACTACTAAGCGATGAATTGAATCAGAAATCGGTAGGATTTATTTATTATTTTCTTTCTTAAAACATTAGTACAATATTCATTTTAAAATTACTAAAGTATCTTATTTCTATATTAGCCTATGATTGAAAGCATCAATTTTCAAGGCTCTCAACTTTAATTCCATCTGTTTGTGAAGCCTTAGAGGTATAGGTAGGGAAGGAGGATTATTCTTGGGATTCATAAAGGTCTATTAATATGTAACTTAAATTCTATTTTTGAAGATGTTGGCTGTTCTTAAATGATATTCCAAATGCTAAAGGGGGAAAGAAACCTATTTTTTTAGTTAAGCTATTAAATGATTTTTCAAACAGCAAATACAGACATGCACATAAAATAAAATGCTATTTAAGTGAATTCTTTGTAGTAGTCATGAGAATATATAGATGCACATAACTTACCTTTTGTTCACTATTATATACTCACCACCTATGCCTTCCCAGCACAATGTATTAGAATCTTTCATATGGTTCTCCAAWAGATGGAGATGTTTACTTGTTGCAATAGGACAGAATTGCCAACCTCTAATACTGATGCCAGGAATAGTAAGTAGCTTTAATTGTTTTAGTTTCACCATTAATGAGCTGTCTTCTTATGTTTTGTTTTTGTTAATGCTAGCTTTTTGTTAAGAAATCAGCACCTAGAGTTGTAGTCAGGATCAATATCCACCACTTATTTCCCTGTTTATGAACTCTACAAAATAGCACTTTTAAAAGGTTTCTTGTTCCTGATGAATTCATTTTCTCTTCTTAATCTCCAAAGTAATTGTTGACTTGAAGTTATATTTAGTACCACAGAGATTGAAGACATCATTATAAATTTTTTCCTGAGTTGATTTAATATTAAGAAACTTAATTGTTATCTGGTAGAAAAACAGAAGTTTCTTAGAAGTCTGTAAGTTGGTCCTTGTCTACTGGTTTTAGTCTTCCAAACAGTGGTAATTATGTCTCAATTGTGGAGCTAGAGTCAACATTACATTGATAATTAGTTAGAAATTACTAGTGTTTAGCATCATTTTATATGTTTAGCCAATATTAATAATAATTTGATAGTTAGAGAAAATGTCAGGCAATTTAAACATATATGATAGAAGCATACTATGTTATGACACTTTCAAGAAAACTGGTATCGTATTGTAGATGAAAGTGGGTGAACATACACTGTACTGATGCTCAGAAACTCCAGGAAATAACCAACCATTAGAAGAAATAAACAACTGAGATGATGGCATCATTACTAAAATATATTGACTAAAAATCATTAGGTTGCATTAGAAATGCATCATCTGGTCTGTGATATAAGAGCTTTAAAGTGAGCCAAAATGGGTTATAATTTTCAATATTTGGTGATTTTTGTACCTGGTAAAATAGCTATTAATTTAAACTTACAGTCATTAAAGTCAAGTAATACAATTACTTCATCACTAACACCTATTGAATTGCATCATGTATCAAAAGTAGTAATATGGGGGATAAGGATGTAGTGCAGTGGTAGAGTACTTGCCTACCATGCAAAAAACCCTGGGTTTAAGTATATTCTTTTAAGTGATAAGTATATAGAGAGTGGATGAGGAGAGCACATTAACCATATAGAAAACTGTTAGTTTGATTATAAGGTTAGTTTGTTATTTGTAAATAACCACGTTATTTCCAGAGATTAATTTTGATGTGTCTCATTTCTAGGCAGAAAACATTCAGTCTCAAAAATCTAGTGAATTTAAGAGTAGGTACTTTATCTCAGTGAAATATAATACAACTGCTTTATGACATAGTTTGTAAGTTAAAGCACATATTAAGCTTGAGATGGGAGCTGGCCCAGTATTCAGTAGATAGTTAGGAACATGATACATGGTTTAGTGCCGCAGTCTGGCTGGGCACAAAATCACGAGCCACTCATAGCCTTGTAGATTCAAACAGCAACTCTTTATTCCCGAACTCTCATCGGTACTCTACTCACACGTTCTGGGGAAAAATCCACTACCTCCACCTGGCTCTGCATTCCAAAAACCCTCTCAATCCCGTGAGAACTCAACTCCAGGAGTTCAACTCCAGGAGCGGGCGCCTGGAGGCCCTATTCCCAGCAGGATACACCTTAAACCTGGAACCGCCCTAAACCCAGATTCGCCCTGGTCCTTGAGCAGGGTCACCTTTCTCAAACATTCATGCAATGTCACTGCAAATGACCTGGGTCCAAGGCAAGCCCATTTCCACAATGGAGAGTCCTCCCTCTAAGCAACATGGGGTAGGCTGACAAGGAAATTGCCATGCGTCATTCCTACTTGGCTATGGCTCTCAGCAGTTTAGTAAGAGCTAGGTGAAAAACTTGAAATACCTGTGAATATTTGAATTTTATATTCATTTAATAGTTTAACTATACTTTTTATTTTTGGTCCGGTTAGGCAACTTTAGCAAGTATAGATGCTGAGCTTCAGAAACTTAAGGAAATGACCAACCACCAGAAGAAACGAGCAGCTGAGATGATGGCATCTTTACTGAAAGACCTTGCAGAAATAGGAATTGCCGTGGGAAATAATGATGTAAAGGTAAATATGATAACAAGTATAATCTATATGTAACTCAGACTTTCGTTTACTACTTAATTTTTACATACTTTCCATACCCATACTTATTCTTAAGACAGCCATGTGTGATGGTTGGTATATGGGGAAAAAAAAGAGAATGAGGTTATCCAAATAAAATCTTCAGTAAGTAGCACTTATCAAGCCTCACGTTTGGCTTTTTTTCCTACTGTGAAAGGATTTCACACTTAGAAATCAATCTTAATAAATTGCCATATGTGAAAGTCTTTGGAACAGATTAGCTCAGGAAAGAAACTATGGTGCTTTAAGTAAAAAATGAGTATTTCATTCTTTTGAAAAATTTTAGTATGAAATATTTTAAATATACAATAGTACAGAGAATAATAATTTGAATATTCTAATTATACATAGTAGTTGGATTCATTTTGACAAAATCATACATGGAGAGAATTTGATTTCAATCCCTATCCCCCCCTTCTAGAGTTAACAGTTTTTAAAAATCTGCCACGCTTTATGCCCTTTTTTTGCCCCTTCAAATAATCTTTTGTTGTTGATGTTTTGTTTTCAGTACTAGGGATTGAATCCAATGATGCTTTACCTCTAGCCCTTTTATTATTTTAAATAGTCTTGCTAATTTGCTCAGGCTGGCATTGAACTTGGCTTCTCCTGCCTCAGTCTCTCAACTTACTGGATTACCCATGTGAGCTACTGCATCTGGCTCCTATCTTTTTTAAGTGCTAAAATATGCCATTAATATGAAAAATTTGTATGTTGTAGTAGTTATTCCTTGGACCTTACTTTTTTGATTAAAACAATTATATGCCTGTAATTCTAGAGGCTTGGGAGGTTGAGGCAAGAGGATCATGAGTTCATAGCCAGCCTCAGAAATTTAGCGAGGTGCTAAGCAACTCAGTGAGGTCCTGTTTCTAAATAAAATACATCARAAGGGGGAGCTGGGGATGTGGTTCTGGTTAAGTGCCCCTGAGTTCAGTCCCCATGTTTTAGTTAGCTTTTTCACTACTGTGACTGAAATGCCAGACCAGAATAACTGTAGAGAAGGAAAGGTTTATTTAGGGGCTCACAGTTTCAGATGTCTCAATCCATAGACAACAGGCTCCATGGCTGAGGGTGAGGCAGGACATCATGGCAGAAGAGTGTAGCCTAGGAGAACACCTCACATGGTGATCAGGAAACAGAGACTCCACTTTCCAGATACAAAATATATACCTTACAGCCACACCCCCAGTGAACCACTTCCTCCAGTCACATCCCACCTTCCTCCAGTCCCCACTCAGTTAATACCATCAGGGATTAAACCACTGATTAGGTTAAGGCTATGACCCAGTCATTTTTCCTGCAAACCTTGCATTGTCTCACATGTGAGCTTTAGGGGGAACACCACATCCAAACTGTAACACCCCAGTATTTCTTCCCCACCCCCACATGCAAAAAAAAAAGAATAATTATAATAACATGGAAAATGAGCTTGTACTTGGGTTTATAGTGAGCGCCTACAAAAAGTCAAGTTTAACAAGAGTTAGAAATGAAGATAAAGGTTTTTTTATATGGAACACACATTCTTTCCATTTGTTTATTGTTTAAAGTTGATTTTTGTTGATGAAGGCAAGGATTCTTGTGACCTTTCGAATATCTGGTCATTTCTTCATTGACTTACCTTTGAAACAAAGGAAAGGTATTATTAAATTATGGGTGACTTACTTTACACTCTCTTTACCATCAGTCTGAACATTCTGCCTTATCCTGTTTATGGTGAAGTTATATGAGATACAGAGATATGTAGGGACCTCTGGGAATGGAAAAGATTGACTTCTTTTCATTAAACACTAGAATGGGGTTGTTCAAAATTTGCTTTATATATTAAAGTACTTCTTTTAAGAAAAAAAAAGCCTTTCCATTTTGTGTTCAAGTAATCATAATCTAAGTGAAAAAATGATAAAGTTAGAGAAATAAATAGAAGTAGCTTATGTTTAGTGGCAGAGCCAGAGATAGAGTATAGGTTCCCTGATTACTTGACTCCTTTATTCACTATGCCATTTATAGTGTTTTTTGAATGWCAGTCTTGCAAATAGGTACTTGGATAAAAATTTTTTAAAATGAGGATCCTCAGTAATTGTACCATTTACACATTTATATTTTCCTGTTAGCCTCTACATTTTTTTCCATATAACAATTCAATCTTTGTTTTACATTTGTATGAATAAAAATTGTATATGATAGCTCCATCATTACATCATTATAGTATCAAATAGAATACTTTCACTACCCCCATGCTTTTTTTAACCTATTCACCCCTACCCCCGAGACTTATGTTTTTACAAGATCTGTGTTTCTCATTTCCAAAATGTTATATAGTTGAAATCACACTGTAAGCTTTTCAAACTACCTTTCATTTGTGATTCTTTCATGTCTTTTCATTGTGCAATAATTTATTTCTTTTATTACTGAATAATATTACAATTTATGAATAACTTATCTATTCACCTACTCAGTGGCTTCTACTTTTTGAATTATGCATAAAGCTGCCATAAATATTCATGTGCAGGGTTTCTATGGATAAGGTTCTCAATTCAATTGGGTAAAAATATCCAGCAGTGTGATTTTGAGTGTGACTGCTGGATTATATGTTTGGAAACTCCCATACTGTATTCTAAAATAGCTATAGCATTTTACCTTCCTCCCAGCAATTAATTGAGTTCTTGTTTCAGATCCTCACCATCATTTAATATTATTTGTTTTTTTTTTGATATTAGCTATTTTCTTAATGTATAAGGTTAGGTCATTGTTATTTTAATTTGTAGTTGGGTTATTTGGGTTTTTGTTGAATTTTCAGAATTCTTTGTACATTTTGATTATGAGTCTTTTATCAAATAGTGTTTTACAATACTTCTCTAGTCTGTGTCTTATCTTATTTCTCTTAACAATGTCTTTTATAGAGCAGCAATTTTTAATTTTAGTGAATTCCAAATTAACCTTTTTTTTCTTTCATTGATTGCATTTTTTGTATTATATTTAAATATTTACCCCCAAACCCAAGGTCACCTATATTTTCTCTTTTTTATTGTCTAAAAATTTTTTAGTTTTGTATTTACATTCAGGTCTGTGATCCATTCAGAATTAAGCATTAGGTTTCATTATTTTGTGTGTGGATGTGTGGTTATGGCATCATTTGTTTAAAAGACTATCTTTTGTTAGAGATCTTATTTACTATATTTGTGTGGGTCTATTCCTGTGTTCTCTCTGCTATTCCATTGACACAATTATCTTTTCTTTTGTCAATACTTTTGTCTTTTCCTCTTCATGGTTTTGCTTTCCAAAGTTTCAGTTACTTGCAGTAAACCATAGTGTGAAAATATTAAGTAAAAATTTTCATAACTAAACCATAAGTTTTTAGTAACTTTTTACAGTATATAATTATAATTGTTATTTTACTGTTGTTGTCAGTCTCTTACTATGCCCACTATATAAATTAAACTTTATCATAGGTATATATTTATAGGAAAAAACTTGGCACATACAAAGTTAAGTAATATCTGGTTTCAGGCATGTGTGGAACATCTTAAAATATATTTCCCTAGGAAAGAGAGACTACTGTACTATCTTGATTATTGAAGCTTTACAGTAAATCTTTAGTGTCAGTCTTTGTTCTTCTTTAGCATTCTGTTCATTATTCAGGATCTTTGACTCTACTTACAGATTTCAAAGTCAGTTTGTCAATATTCACAAAATAGCTTTCTGTGATTTTGATGGGAATATATTCTTTCATCAGTGTTTGGTGTTTCTATATGTAGATCTTCTACATATTATGTTAGACTTACACTTAAATATTGTTTTTTCTATTCTTTGGTGCTAATGAAAATGACATTGTATTTTTTAATTTCAAATTCTAGTTATTCATTGTTGATATATGGAAAACAGTTTACTTATACATCAACCTTGTATCCTGCAACCTTGCTATAATGGCTTATTAGTTCCAGGAGTTTTTCTTGACATTCATATCATCAACAACCACAAAACCCAAAAAACAAAAAAAACAAAAAATTTTTTTCTTCTTTTCCAAATTCCACTAATAATTTTGTAATAAAATCTGTAAAAGTTACAGAAGTAACCATGGTTCCTCCTATTAAGCTTAAAAGTCTTCTTTTCCCTCCCTAAGCACCCTTATTAAGTTTTAAACTTAAGTTGCATATTAATGATTTTACAGAAGAGGTCCTGTGAAGAAGAAATACAGAAGTTGAAAGAGGTATAATGCATCAGTATGTTCATGTTTATATTCTTTTTTTTTTTGTTTTGTAGGCATAGATTAATATTATTTCAGGGTTCAAAGTAGGAAAGGAAAAAGTAAGCTCTTGCCCTTTATTAAAAGAGTAATTATAAAAAATTGCAGACTTTCAAGTCTAATAAGAAAACACAAACTTGAATATTTTGGGCTTTAAGTTTTATTTCATTTTTATCTCACAGCAACCTGAGGGAACTGGCATGATAGATGAAGAGTTCACTGTTGCAAGACTGTACATTAGCAAAATGAAGTCAGAAGTAAAAACAATGGTGAAACGCTGCAAACAATTAGAAAGCACACAAACTGAGAGCAACAAAAAAATGGAAGAAAATGAAAAGGAGTTAGCAGCATGCCAGCTTCGTATCTCTCAGGTATGTGTGTTACAGAACAAAATTTCTTTATTTTTTAAACAAACAGATATAAATTGTGCTTCTGTAACTAATCAAATTGCCAGTAACTAAATCAAAACCTTAATTTAATCAAGTTGTTTACCTAATCTCACTATAGTATAATAACTTGAATGACTTAACTAGTTTATATTTGCCAATATGTATATACAATAAGTATATTTAAAGATATGACTGTTATGACCATTAAAGACTAGAAGAATTTCAGAATGGGCAGGATTGCAGGGCACCAGTTTTCCATTTTGGCTGCTGAGTAATGGGTCATTCACCAAGATAGGAATTATTCACAAAGGGAAGTGGATGACATTAAATGGAGGTAGTGAGAAAAATATTATATTGTAATCTTTCATTGCTTTAGTTTACAACTGGCATAGCTATACATGTAACCATTGAATTGAATAAATTCTTTAATGTTTTTAAATCTGGTACCTGAACATTCTAGAGTGAAATACCTTCAGATCTATTATACATTTACATATATTAGTAAAACTTATTTCCTTGAAAATATTTATAACAAAATGTGTGCATGAGATAGTTTTTCCACTTCATATCAGTATATTTTTTTCTCGAAAGCATGAAGCCAAAATTAAGTCATTGACTGAATACCTTCAAAATGTGGAGCAAAAGAAAAGACAGCTGGAAGAATCTGTTGATTGTCTCAGTGAAGAATTAGTCCAGCTCCGAGCACAAGGTATTATCTTTCAATTATCTATGAGTTATATCTATATTAATCCTTTTTTACTTTAATGTAAATGTTGTATACTTATAAAGAAAATGGTAGGAATATAGATAACTTGGAATGATAAGCAAATCATAATACTTTAACATGACTTTAAAATATTTTTTAAAATTGTGTTAGAATATATAAATGGCCAATCTAGGAATGTCCCACAAAGTTATGTAGAGAAAGAGAGTATGTACGTGCGCATGTATGTGTTTAAATCTTAATATAGGGATCTGAGAGGCTATTTTATTTCCCTTCCATATTATCAGCACAACGGATATAACTAAGGGTACTAGTCAACATATCATTGATTGGAGGACTGCTAAGAAAAATATAACACAACCCATTTGTTTCCTTGGCTTGGTGAGAAACTAGAAGGTTTATTTCATTCTTTTCTTCCTTACCCAAACAGAAAAAGTCCATGAGATGGAAAAAGAGCACTTAAATAAGGTTCAGACTGCAAATGAAGTTAAGGCAAGTCTGATGTTACATTTGATTCTAATGGCTTTAGTCTATCATTATTAATAGTTTTTATTAGTCTCTTTTTAATATCTTTATTTTTTTTCTGAAAATGTTAGCAAGCTGTTGAACAACAAATCCAGAGTCACAGAGAAACTCATCAAAAACAAATCAGTAGTTTGAGAGATGAAGTTGAGGCAAAGGAAAAACTTATAACTGATCTTCAAGAGTAAGTATTATACTGTTTCTTTCTTAGAATAAATTAATTCATAAACAGTGGTTGTTTAAGCAGGATGAAATAATAAATTCCAACTGACAATCTTAGAAACCTATAGATTTTTTACTTGAGAAATAAGGAATTTTCATACTTATGAATAAAACATCTAAGTTCCTGGTCAAATTCTTGAAAATTTAGGTCATTTTATCAAAATATTCAGTAAAAAGAAAAAAGAAATCTATGTTAAACTAAACTCATTATAACAAATAGATAATTTCTGAGTCATTTGAGAAAAGTCTTTACCTGGGAATGGTGGGATTTAAAATGCTAATGTTTTAGTAGAAATTGTCATTTCTGTTTATATAGAGTACATTTTGCCTACTTCCATAATCAGATTCATACCCATAGACTGAATACATTAGAGGTTTGCAACCATTTAAGTAGGAACCGTAGGAGAGTAAAAAACAAAGTGGTGAYAAATTTGGGACATGTGGGTGTTGTATTAATGCGTAATGGAAGCAGGAATAGGGATTTCTTGAATAAAATCATTAAATCAAAATATGAAAAATATCATATGGCTCTAACTAGGCATGTCCCCTTCCTTTCTGCCCTGATGGGATAACAGAGGAGGCCTGTAATTATATAATTTTAGCCTTCAAAAAATTGTGACAATGACATCCAGAAAATTGAAATTGAGCTTATATTTCTTTTCTTTTGTTAGCCAAAACCAGAAAATGATGTTAGAGCAAGAACGTCTAAGAGTAGAACATGAGAAGCTGAAAGCTACAGATCAGGAAAAGAGCAGAAAATTACATGAACTTACGTGAGTAATTGTTTTCATTAAAATTTTAAAATAAAACTGTATATGTTATGTATGTAGTTAATATCAGTCTTCTGAGTTGATTTATATCTAAAAGCTTGCAATATACACTTGTACTTCAGTGAAAGCAATGTTATATTTCAGTGTAGTCAAGATKTAGAGTCCTGTTATCAACCTACTTACGATTTCTTTGTTGTCATATTACTTCAGGAGCCATTATAAAAATAAACCTAAAACATGACAGTAGTATAGAAAATTTTGATACCTGCCACAAAAACTGACATTTTGTCAAATTTGATTTTATTAAAGGAAAATTATTATTTTAACCTTATCTTTTCAAACAGGTTTTCACTGTTGACTTTTTCTCATTTACTGAGTTAATGTTCAGTTTTCCAGAATCTGAGCAGATAAAAAACTTGTGGCTATAATTTTTCACATTTCTTGAATTTCTAAGACGATTTACAGTGAATTACTGTTGAGATTGTTACACCATCAACCAGTTCAGAGAAGATTTTATAAATATTCTGCTGAATTACAGCCATAATTTTGCTAAGAATAATTTCAATTTAAAATGTTAATTTTGGACAGTTTATAATCTCTATTATATATTAATTAACCAGTTTAACCAGTATCATTTTGGTCAAGTAGCAGTATACTACATATGTGGCATATTTCAAAGTGAAAATTATCGATTTAAAAGAATATATAAAATTCTGGGCATGGTGACACACACCTGTAATCCCAGCAACTCGGGAGGCCGAGATAGGAGGATTGCAAGTTTGAAGCCCACCTCAGCAATTCAGTGAGTCCCCAAGCAACATAGGGAGACCCTATGTCAAAATAAAAAATAAGAAGGGTTAGTGATGGAGCACAATGGTAAAGCCCCTGGGTCCAGTCCCCAGTAATTGCTCCTCCCAGGTAAAAGGTTATAAAGCATATAAAAATTTCTTTGGAAAATACAATATGGATTAACTTAAAGTATATTTCATTTATTTGGATTTAATGATCAGTTCTTTCACAAAATATTTTGATTCAGCTCTTGTGTTAAATAAAACTAGAATTTATAGAATCAAACTTGAAAAAATACATTCTTCTACTTGTAGTGTTATGCAAGATAGGCGAGAACAAGCAAGACAAGACCTGAAGGGTTTGGAAGAGACTGTGGTAAGAAAAATGTAAAAATGAGTAGAATTGGGGAGGGGTGTGTGTGTGTGTGTGTGTGTGTGTGTGTGTGTGTGTTTTCCCTGAATTTAAAGACTGAATTCCAAAAATATTGCTATTCTTAATTCAAGGCAAAAGAACTTCAGACTTTACATAATCTGCGCAAGCTCTTTGTTCAGGACCTGGCTACCAGAGTTAAAAAGGTAATAATAATGCTGAGGTGGTTATTTTTTATTCATCAGTGAAACGATTTTACATTGTCATATTTATGTAGATAGGCTTAGATTTTGGGGGGGATTTTAAATTTTTTCACAGTATTTATCAAACTTCTTTTCTCAGAGTGCCGAGATCGATTCTGATGACACTGGAGGCAGTGCTGCTCAAAAGCAAAAAATCTCCTTTCTTGAAAATAATCTTGAACAACTCACTAAAGTACACAAACAGGTAATAGTTTATTTTGTGGTAACAGATTTTAAGATTGAAGTACAAAGTATTTTAATCTTTCAGTGTCGTAAGAATCTGAGCTATTCCATCATTGTAGTAAGTGATTATAAAAAAGAAACCACTAAAGATTGCCATATTAACAACCCTAATATCAGCCAAGGCCAGTGAAAACATGTATTCTTATTTCCCCTGCAGGATTTTAGATCTGTCAGTTTTATTTATTTCTTTATAGTAATTTTTGGTAGGTGAGTATTTGTAGTTAAAATAGAMTCATCATCCCCATTTTTGGTCTTTTTACATTTACTCTCCTGCTATCTAAAATAATGAGGCAGTCTTTTTTTTTTTTTTTTAATAATTCTGTGTTTTTTCCTGATTTTTAAAATTATGGCTTGATAAATGATTTTAAATTACCTATTAAAAAGTAATTTATACCCCAATGATTCAAATGTATGAATTGCCAAGATCATTGTAATGTCATGTGTAGCTAATAAAAAAAAATTAAAAAAGTTGAACACACTCCATTTTTTTTTAACTTTATTGCTATCTAGCGCCAGAGTAAGATAAACTTATCTTCAATACTTAATTAAGGGACACACTAAGTTTATACTTACTTGTGCTTTAATATCCTAAAAGGATATTAATTTCACCTTTTGAACACTGAAGAAAGCACTATGCACTATCACTATGTGTACTTTATTGTTTTTGCTTAGTAGGAGAAAGGAACAATCCATTCTTCCCMCAAATTAAATGAAAGTATATCTTTGGGAGAAATATGTGTAAGTAGGTATGAATATTTATAATGTTGCATGTTGATGCTTAAATTCAACTAACTAAATGGAAAAACCTTACAGAAAATGTAGTTTTACTTCTTTTCTAAAAAGAAATTTTGAAATTCTCTTATTCTTAAACCATCTTGTTAAAGCTRGAATCTGTATTTTGTTTGTATACCTTAGTTGGTACGGGATAATGCAGATCTTCGCTGTGAACTTCCTAAGTTAGAGAAGCGACTTAGAGCTACAGCCGAGAGAGTGAAAGCTTTGGAGTCAGCACTGAAAGAAGCCAAAGAAAATGCATCTCGTGATCGTAAACGTTATCAGCAAGAAGTAGATCGCATAAAGGAAGCAGTCAGGTCAAAGAATATGGCCAGAAGAGGGCATTCTGCACAGATTGGTTAGTAGAACATACTGAAAACCTTTAAGCTATGAATACTTTGAAGTATAAATGCTTTTGTGTAGTTGAACATGATCTGAAATTTGATGTCTTCTCATGGTAGTATTTGTGTTTTGTTTATAGCTCTCCAGGGTGACACCTTTAGGAAGGAAAAGAGAAATTGAGAAATAACTACATAACTAGGACAAGTAGATAAATAAGTAGATGCAAGCAAGAATGGTTAGGGATACGAGAAACTATAGATAATATTAATAAAGCAAAAAGAAAATTACAAGAAAATAAGCCATCAGTGTTTATTTCATGTTTCAGAGTAATTACTGCTGCAGGAATAAGAGTTTTAAGGAGCTAAGGATTGTATAGGTTCTGGAGAAAAGGATGTGTTCAGAAAGAGAGAAATCAAAAAGGCAAAATATATTGGGAATTCTTTAGAAGGAAAAGGAGACCTAAACAGTCACTGCAGTCGTGTGTTAAGCTTTTTTCTAAGTCAGTTTTTGTGTTTCTTAATAGCTAAACCTATTCGTCCTGGGCAACATCCAGCAGCTTCTCCAACTCATCCAAGTGCAATTCGTGGAGGAGGAGCATTTGTTCAGAATAGTCAGCCAGTGGCTGTACGAGGAGGAGGAGGCAAACAAGTATAAACATTTACACATCTTCACAGGTTTGTAGTTTATATCTGACTTTTGAATCATAGCTGTACATGGAAGTGTTGAGCCGTTGGTTGTTAAACAGACTTTTGGACTTTTTTTTTTTAATTTATATTACTGTCATTTTTTCCTTTCATGATTATAGAAGGAACTTAGTATGGTTTCTTCCAATCTTTTTTCTTTTAAATTCAGATCATACTATACAAATTTGAGTTCTTACTGCTTTTAAACCTAACATTGGATCATTTGTAATAGTTCTTGGTATTCTCTCTAATGAGTAAGCCATGGTTTATAATTATTCCTTTTTCTTGAAAATTTAATGAAATATAATAATTTTTTTCATATTTGTTATTTTCCAAAACTGATATTTCTATATATGATATTTGAAGTATGAAGCATCCCTCATCTTTTAGATTACTTTCAGAAGATTGCCAGAAGTGCAATTACAAAGTGTGAATATATTTAAGGCTTCCTAGAAAGATTGCATAAAATCAATGAGTCAGATATACTATTTGGTTGCAGTTTTGGTAGCATTGAGTATTAATAGTTTTTAAGCTTCTAATTAAAATAGCTGAAATAGCATCTTAATGATCTATCGGTCCATTTATATTTCATTTTTTATGAGTTTTTCATTTTTTCATTTACCTATTGTAGGTGATTTATCTAACAGATTTCCAAGTTTTATTATTTTTTAAAATATCTTTATTTTGTTTATTTATTTATTTTTATGTGGTGCTGAGGATGGAACCCAGGGCCTCACATATTCGAGGCAAGTACTCTGTCACTGAGCCACAACCCAAGCCCTACTTATTTTTTTTTTAATTATATAAGTACTATCTGTTCCCTGGAGAAAGATAAAAATTATCAAAATAGAAGAAAAGTATCAAAAGAACTACCCAATAAATTAGATATATCTTTGAAGAGCTTTCTTTATACATTATGATCTTTTTTTTTTCCTTTAAGTTATAGATGGACACAATACCTTTATTTATTTTTTTGAGGATTGAACCCAGTGCCTCAYGCCTGCAATACTAGATAATTTTATGGTTAACTGTTACTGTCCTGACAAATAATCAGGCCAGTTTCTCTTAATCTAACTTGTTTTTGGCATTTTGCATAATACTGTCCCTAAATCTGAGTAAAGAATAAAGCATTCTACTAAAGGATTCACATTTCCAACAATTTAATATAAAATTGGACCATACAATATAAGGTTAAAAGCCAAAGATGTAAGAAAAGAGTGTGGACTTACGATTTCATGTAAGTTTGAATCTGACAATACTTTTATAAACTTGAGCCAAATAATTTTTTAGGTTACTTTCCTTCTCATTTTGACTTTATAAAAAATTCTTCAGCATAAAAATAAATTATGGATTTATGATTTAATTATTTAATGAATCTAAAATACTATTTTTTCAACATAGCCACAATGATACCTAATAAAATCATTTTTAATATTGTCTAATACCAATCCATGTTAGGATTTATTTTATTTTATTTATTTTTGTAGGGCTGAAGATTGAACTCAGAACCTTTTACATGCTAGGCAAGTGCTCTACCCCTAGCTCCTCTCTCTTTTTTTTTTTTGTTTTAATATCCTATACAGCTGATTTTTCTAGAACAGTGTATAATCCAAAACTGGATTTGAATTTATCCAAATGTGTACTTAGTTTTATCCCTTACATCTCTACTAATTTAGAATAACCCCCCTTCTTAATKACTCTGACATACTAAAGAGAACTAGGCCACTTATTCTGAGTATACACTTCCTTCAGGATATGTCTGATTGTTTTATATGCCTTGTTCCTCTATCCCCCTCTATTTTCTGTGTATTGAAATGTATATCAAAAGTATTGGTTAGATTCAGTGTACACATTTCTGACTGGACTAAGTCATAGTTAAATAAATACTACTGACCTTAACACATGTGCAACAGTTTAGCCCATGATAGAGATAGGTAACCCAGTTTTGAAGATTTGAAAATTATAATAACAGTATCATTGTTTATAGGTTTGTTTTATTGCTGTTCCAAAGGATGGTGGTTCTTAGTTTCTTATACCAGTCAATCTTCAACCATGATGGAAGAATGTAAGATGTATTTAGGTGATAAATTGTTGAAAGTTAAAAATTCTGTAGAGAAGATTTTAAGTTATTTTTAAAATGTTAAACATTTCAGCTGGGTGCATTGGCACACCCTGTAATCCCAGCAGCTCAGGAGGCTGAGGCTGAAGGATTACAAGTTCAAAGCCAGCCTCAGCAAAAGTGAGGTGCTAAGCAACTCAGTGAGACCCTGTCTCTAAATAAAATACAAAATAGGGCTGGGGATATGGCTCAGTGTTGGAGTGTCCCTGAGGTCATTTCCCAGTATCCCCCTCAAAAAAAACCCACATTTCATTACTCAGAAGGCTGAGGCAAAAGGATCACAAGTTCAAAGCCAGCCTCATTAACTTGGTGAGGCCCTAAGCAACTTAGGAAGACCCTGTCTCAAATTTAAAAAAATCTTAAAGGGCAGGGGTTGTGGCTTAGTGATTGGGGGCCCCTGGGTTCAATTCCTGGTACCCAAAAATAATTTTTTTTAAACATTGTATTTATTTTGGGGTAAGATGACAATGTTAATAATACTAATACCCTTAATTCTCAGTTTTACATGATACTTCTTATGTCTTGGACCACACTTTGAACAGTTTTTTAGCTAAATGCATAAGTAGCGATTTAGTATGAAGATGACTCCAGAGAACAACTACTATAATTGTTTATTTTACCCATCTCTTTTCCTATCATTTTATGTTTTTTGTTTATGCCTATCCCTCCACTCCTCTCTCCCCACATTTTTTTTTTTTTTAATAGCTACCAATATGTGACAACTAGTTGCTGGTTAGTGGTCCTTGATTTAAGAATGTCACTAACAGGCCAAGTGTGGTGGTTCATGCATGTAATCTCTGCAACTCAGGAGGATCACAAGTTTGAGACTAGCTTCAGCAACTTATTAGCAAGAGTCAGCCTCAAAATAAAAAATGAAAAGGGCTGGGTGTATAGCTCAGTGATAGATCGCCTCTAGTACTGAAAAAAAAAAAAAAAAAAAAAAAAACCAGAGTGCACTAATGACTGTATATTGCTTTAAAAATTAGCCAACCTTTTAATTTGAGGAGGAAAAAACATAAAGGATTGAACTTTTTATTTTATTTTTTAAATATTTTTCAGTTATAGTTGGACATAATACCTTTATTTTGTTTATTTATTTTTATGTGCTGCTGAGGATGGAACCCAGGGCCTCACACATGCTAAGTGAGCGCTCTACTGCTGAGCCACAATCTCAGCCCCAAAGGATTGAACTTTTAAAAAGTGGTCAAAGCTGTTGGCTAAAATGTTCATAATCTGTTGGCATATTTAATTTCCTTCATGATTGTCTCAAACATGAGTTTTGTAAAACTAAAAAATTTTCCCCGTTTTCTCATTGTCAGGTGTTGAAAGTAATTGAAGTATGAAGAGGACATAGTATCAGTCATTCAGTGACTGTCACTTCTACCCCCTTGGGATTGTAGAACTATAACTTTTTAAAATGTACAAATTATACCTGGCCTGTACAGCTGTTCCTACCCGCTCTTCTTGGAAACTCTGCTGCTTCCCAACACAACTAGAGTGCAATTTTGATGTCTTAGGAAGAAAAAATGACAGTTTACAACTGTGGCCCTATTTATTACACAGTTTGTCTTTTGTGTCTTAAATTAGTCTTCACTGTGCCAAGCTAACTATACCTAGTAGGACTATGCTTTTTGTATTTGCTTTTTTAATGGATGTTTAGTTTTGAGTTTCTGTTTAAGTTACCTGGTTGCTACTGCTTCCTCTTTTTCTTTTCCTATTACATGTCTTCCTTTTTCTTTCTTTCTTTCTTTTTTTTTTTTTAAGGGAAAATTGAATCTTTAGATTAAATGTCTTACATTTTACCACTTCCAACACTACATGTCCACAAAATATATCAGGTCAGTACTGTATTTTAAAATCCCTTGAAGTGAAATCAGGGTTAAAATGATTTGTATTATCTCTGGTGTTTGCTTCTGAAAATTGCTGTTTAAGCACTGAAACCTTACAACTGCCCTAAGTAGGCATTTGAGATTGAGTGAGCACGGCTACTTGATTGTTATCTTCTGAAATGCTTGTTGCCCACTTATTGAATAGAAATATTTTACATATCAAAAGTAAATCTCAGTTTAAGAGGGAGTTATCTCCCATCCTCATTTATGCTTAACATAGCTTAACGGAATGAAAATACCTTGCTTCATTCTGATGAGCCTGCTAGCTGATATAAGAATTGGGCAGGTATCAATTTGTCATCTTTCATATAGTAAAATGAATTAAGATACTATAAAATTAAACAATTTTATATTGTTAGCTATTGTATGGGCTGATCTAAATTTTTAGCCTATGAAAATTTAGGGGAAAATGAATAAACAGGACAGATACACAGTGAAGTTAAAGATGTGTAGGTAAATTTTAGTCACAGTCTCTAAAGGTGTTTTTAACCTGCTACACTAAGTCATACACTATAATTTATTTCTCGTTTAGTCTAGAAATAGTGAATTGTTTGCAAATCACTAATAATCCTCAAACAAATTACATTGTTGACCATAGCCCATAATTTTGTGCATATATATATATATATCCACATATATATGTATATATGTGTATGTGTATATACACACACACACACATAGTTTATATAAAACTATGTACCAGTTTTTGCCACTTCTTCCTCAGATCATTATACTAAGTCAACAGTTATTTTAGGAAAGAGATTTCAATGTTTGCTTCACCATTGGGGTGGGGAGTGACTACAACTACATTAGCAGAAGTTTGCAGTGAATGTAGAGAAACTGGAGAATTCTGTTATTAGGATATGGCTGGCAGAATTAACTTTTTGAAAAAGTTTTATACACAGATATTTGTATTATTAAATTTGGAGCTATAGTCAGAAGACTCAGATCATAATTGGCTTATTTTTCTATTTCCTTAACTATTGTAATTTCCACTTTTATAATAATTTTGATTTGAAAGAAAAATTTATTTATTTATTTTTTTAACAATCAAAAATCCTTGCTGTTGTAGTCTGCAGCCTTTAAAATGATTGTTGCTTTTAGAATTGATTAAAAGAAACACTCCATAAATTGAGATGAAATCTTGGGTGCAGTGAAATATAAGTACTACAGATAAGAAAGTACTACAAGCCTCTTTGTGGTGATAGTTTTTTAAATGGAGAGACATTTGGCTGCTTTCACATAGACATTTATATTTTGTTCTCAAGTGAAAACTTGCTTCTTTAGCAATATTCATAAAAAATTTTTTTTCTCTTGTCTGAATACAGTAGTTTCTTGTAAGATGTATCATGGGTATGGTGCTGTGTAACAAACAATGAATTRTAACTAGCATGTGGTTCAGAATACACAGTGTTAGGTTTTTTTAAATATCTTAATGGTTCTTTTCTATTTATAATTTCAAAATTTCATAAAGTGTACCAGGAGTTTCATAAAAATTGTTTTCAGTGAACTGTTCTTTTTGTTATGGTAGGTCATTAAATATAGCATTTACTCTCATAAATTGAAATGTCTGACCATCTAGAATATTGACACTTATTTCAATTTACAGTCCTTTTTTTTTTTTTTTTGACTGGATATATTAATGTTACTCTGAATGGTATTGAGTAATGGTTCAGAAGATAAACTCAATGAAATAAAAGTAATATTTATTCATGGTGATCAATTAAATTATTTGCTTAACTTAAGGAAACTGACTACTGTGCATAACTCTTAATTTGTATGTGACTCTGAATTTGACATGAGGTGACAGAATAGAGTCTGAGTCTACCTGTGGAATATGTTGGTTTATTTTCAGTGCTTGAAAAACATGCAAAGATAATTGGTTTGGGAAGACACCATATAATTTTAAGTTAACCTGCATGCTGTAAATGTGTTTTATGTTTCAATAAAGAGGAAAATTTTTTTTGAAATATAATGACTTTTTATTGAAAACTATTTCGAGTATCAGGTTGATTTTACCTGAACTAATAGATGGCCCTCTGACCTGTCAGAATAGTGACTGGTTCATATAAATTTTGAGTACTAATGTATTGCAGCTTTTTAAACAGCAGGTAGGCTGAAAAATTAAGAGCTAGAAATGAATTTTCAGCCTCACTTATGTTTTTTTACTTTGGTGTAGTTTTTCCTCGTTTAGTCTAGAAGTAGTGAATTGTTTTGTTTAGCTGAGTCTGTTTTATCAACAAATATAAGAATAAATACAAACGAATTCTACTCCAACTACTTCCTGGCAGCTTCATATCTTCCTATTTAATATGTTCAGATAGCCAAGGATCACCACACATTTGAGGAACATCTGGGGTAAAAGGTAGCCTCAAAACAAGCAAACAGAACAACCCAGTATGTTGGAAAGGGGGACTATGAAAGGAGAGGAGAACATTTTTTAAAGAATTGCCATTAATTTCTCAGGTAAAAAATTAGTAGTTTTTCTCCATTACAAAATAAGAAATATCCAGAAAACTAAAAACATCTTGAAATATAAACTTAAAACTCAATAGAAGGATTAGAAAATGAAGTTGAGGAATTTTTTTTGACAATGTACTACAAACAAAACAGAGAAGATGGAAAATAGGAAAGAAAAGACCAGAACAAAAGGCCTCGTGTATGAATAATAGACATCCTATAAAGAGAGAACTGAGGGAGGAGAGCAAAGAAATGATTAGTGAAATAATTCAAGGAAATTTACTGAAGGCCATCAGTTTTCAACCCCACACTAAGGTTTATCATTGTGAATTTTAGTACAAAAACCCTACAATAAAAAAACTACTTTTCATACAAAGGATGGAAAATCTTAATAATATGATGCCAGAAACTAGAAGAAAATAGATCAATACCTTCAAAATTCTGATGGAAAAGTCTCTCTGTCCTCAATTGGTAAAAGGGTGGGTAAAATTTCTAAGACATCCAAGGTCAGGGTTTAGAAATTTTACTTTTTATGCCCTTTATTGGGAAAGTTATTGCTCAACCAAAATGAGTGATTAAGAGGAAGATGTGAACAAAAGAAAGACCCAGCAATACAAGGGAATGACCAAGATGACTGCATAGAAAACCACCAGTCCACATGGAAGAAGGCTACCAGAGATATATTTTTCACCAAAAATTGACAAACTGATTAACATATTTAGAGAAGAATTATATATTTGGTGAGGAGTTTACGGTTGAGTAAATAACTGGTACATAGAACATTAAGAAAAAAATAGAAAGGAAAAGTCATCATATTACACTGCTCAGCAGTAATTTTTATTTCATTGGATTGTGAAATAAATTCACAATACAACCTAATTGGGAGAAAAGGAGATTGTGACGTGGATAGGGTTGTTGATATTACTATCAAGTTCCATTCTAGTCTATAGTAGTGACTTGAAAATTGATAATGCTTATACATTGATAATTAGAGATTTGGAGGTAAAAAGAAGTGGTTGATCTGGAAGTGGAAAAGAGGCAAAGCTGGGCAGGGACCTACACACACACACACACACACAGTGTGTGTGTGTGTGTGTGTATTTTTAAAGTGGAATAAGATTATCATACATCATTATGGAAAATTGAAGTCCATTCAGGCAAAATATTCAAGAGCTATACCACTGAAGAATAGAGAGCCTGCTCTCTTACTTGAAGTCCTGTCTGGCCCTTTGCCCCGGCTGTCATAAAAGTGGCACATTCACGTCCTTTTTCCTGGACTGAGAACATTTGTCAAAAGTCTGGCGCCAAATATCACCACCCATCATGCCACTTTTTTCTCCACCACTGCTTCAAATCAGTGAAGATACAGAAACTGAGAGATAACTAGAATCAACAGGATTTTATGCACATCATTAGAGAAGGAGGATAGCAATGGGAGGGAGGGAGGAGAGAACTAGTAGTGGACATCAGAGCTAGGTCCAAATGCAAGGAAAAGCCTAGAGCTCAGATCAGCCAAGCTAGACATTAAAGGGGCTTTATTGAGTATCCATAAAGCTCCAGTGTGGGGTGCCTCAGATCCAGCACAGTCTAGATTGGTCTCCAGACTTGGGTCCAGGGCTTGGAATGGGGAGCCAAACCCAGCATTCCCTCCACTCTTGTGAGCTGCAGGACCCACAGGACTGGAGTTATGCTGGCAAATAGTGAAGTGCCATCTGTGCTTGGCAAGTCCTTAGCCAGATCATGTGACTGTACCTATACCTGGGTTCCGGGGGAAGGCTGGCCAGCTGTTAAATGTTCCAAATGGGGTTGGAGATGATATCATATGCCCAATTCTGTCTGCCTTGTGCTGCCCAACTCACCAATTGAGCTATGTCAGGCTAAGCCCATAACCTGTTCTGGGGTTCCTGGAATGCCCAAAAAGAAAAAGTTGTGCTGTCACTGCCCAAGAGGAACCCTAGCTATTGACTAAAGGGTGCCTCCTGCACCCCACCTTGGAGATAAGCCAAGGCAGTGCTACCACTGGGTGAAAGTTTCCCAGAACCAGAAATCACCCTAGAATGTGGGAGACCAGAGCCTTAGAAGGAGAGGTGGTGTCCATAGCAGTGTCAGTGGCAGGGTTGAAGGATGATGGTGCAAAGGCTCTGCCTGGTAGTAAGGAAGTGAGTGCATGATCCATAACTGGCAACAGGAGAAGCATTGCAGTGTTGCAGAGAGGGGGTCACCTTTGTTACCCAAGAAAGCTCCCAGAGGTTGGCTGAGGAGTGGTTGCTGGTACAAATAGTGAACTGGAATGGTTGGTGAAGGAGACCCTAGGTGTAGGTGGGCCTGTGGGGAATAGACCACAGCCAGTTGCCTGTGTTGCCTAGGCCAATGCACCTGGGTGAATGGGGAAGCAGCTCCCTGGAAAGTCAGGGACAATTCTGAAGACGACCACCTTAGAAAGCAGAATAGTACCTATGGCTGTGACCTCAGGATCTCCAGCTGGCTCCTGGGACTGAAGCACAGATGTATTGGCTCTGGTTGTGGAAGTGACACTTCCAGAGTTAGGGACTGGCCAGTGCTCATCGGGTTGCTGGTGGAAGGGACTAGAGGAGGAGTAGGAGAGAAAGAAGAGGAGGATGAAAGGGAAGAGGAGAATCTATGCACATGGGGATTGGGATTTCCATTCTGCAGGGAGAAGCCTTGCCAGAAAAAAGGCTGAGATACAAGATATAGGGTTGTAGTAAACCGGAAGTGCTGTAGCTCTTGCCAAGTGAGTGTTGACT